CTATGGTGCTGATTTGGATTAGTCCATTAACTTAAGTTGCATGTTTTTGGATGGTGGGAGGAAACTGGGGAACCCGGGGGAAACTCACGTGAGCACGGGGAGAATGTGTCCACAAAGAAATGTCTGCTGGCTTGGTAAGGACTCGAACCAGTGACGTTCTTGCTGTGAGACAAAAGTGCTAACCACTGGGCCACCGTGCCACCCATCTAAAAAAGGAGTAGGGGTGGAAGGGGGGATTCTTCAAAACTAATATGGCTGTCATATGAAACTTAAGGTATTTTTAGTGGCTTAGTAATCGTCTAATTGGGGAATCGTAAATTGAATAATGCGAGACCAGCCGCAAGCGATCATAAGCATGTGACCCTCTCGAAATTAGTTTATAAATAAACTTCATTTCTGAAGGGTCGCCACAGCAGAATGAACTATTCCAGCATATGTTCTTAAACAGCAGATACCCTTCCAGCCACAACCCAGTACTGGAAAACATACACACTCATTCACACACATACAATATAGCCAATTTCAATTCATCGATTCCCCTATAGCATATGTGTCTGGACTAGGGGGGAAACCAGAGCACCCGGAGGAAACCCACACCAACATGGGGAGAACATCCCAACTCCACACAGAAACAACAACTGACCCAGCCAGAACTCAACCAGCCACCATCTTGCTGTAAGGTGACAGTGCTGACCACTGAGCCACCATACTGCCTTCACTTTATATTTTTTTTTGTTCACATAATTTTTTTAAATAAATCTATTTTTTTGCAATTTAAATCTTTCACACTTCATGTAAAAACATGATTTCTGAAAACTACTAAGATCTCCAGTTTGCGTCATTTCCATAAATCAACTTTTTCACAATTGTACTCTTCAATACAAAACATAAAACATGATCTCTAAAAAAAAAATTGAGTTATCTTCATATACATCATGCTGCTGCTGTGCAATGGGACTCTAGAGTTTTTGACCAGACTATATAGACTGGAGTATTATTAAATATTAAATACAGTATATGAGTGTCTTATGTCTTCTGTCTCTCAACATCCACATTACTCCTGAGCCGCCACACACTCCAACACTGGTTACCTTTCGCAGAAACCTACGATCTCTCTCACCCAATAGACTATCCACCATTGTTTCAGACTCTCTTCCTCCATCTTGCAAACTCTTTGCACTTGATTCGAACAGTGCCACTGATACACTCTGCTCCACACTAGCATCATGTCTAGACCGATTATGTCCTCTTGCATCCAGGCCAGCCCGTGCCAGTCCTCCTGCACCCTGGCTCTCGGATGCTCTCCGTGAGCATCGCTCAAAACTTCGAGCTGCAGAAAGAATTTGGCGGAAAACTAAAAATCCTGCACAGCTCTTAACATACCAAACTCTTCTGTCCTCTTTCTCAGCTGAGGTTACTTCTGCAAAGCAGACATATTACCGTCTGAAAATCAACAAAGTCACTAATCCTCGCCTACTTTTTAAAACATTTTCCTCCCTCCTCTATCCTCCTCCTCCACCCGCATCCACCACACTTACTACTGATGACTTTGCTACATTCTTTTGCACCAAAACTGCAAAAATCAGTGCTCAATTTGCTGCACCTACAACAAACACGCAAGGTACACCACCAACACCACACACACTCACCTCTTTTTCTCAGCTCTCTGAGTCTGAGGTGTCCAAACTTGTGCTATCTAGCCATGCAACCACCTGTCCACTCGATCCCATTCCCTCTCATCTCTTGCAAGCCATCTCTCCTGCAGTCATACCAACACTGACACACATAATTAACACATCTCTTGACTCTGGTTTATTCCCCACTTCATTTAAGCAGGCTAGGGTAACCCCACTGCTAAAGAAACCCAACCTGGACCATACGCTACTTGAAAACTACAGACCAGTATCCCTGCTTCCATTCATGGCCAAGATTCTGGAGAAAGTAGTGTTCAATCAAGTTCTGGACTTTCTTACTCAGAACAATCTCATGGACAACAAGCAATCCGGCTTTAAGAAAGGCCACTCAACTGAGACTGCCCTGCTCTCGGTCGTAGAGGATCTCAGACTGGCTAAAGCAGACTCTAAATCATCAGTCCTCATTTTGCTGGACTTGTCAGCTGCTTTTGACACTGTCAACCACCAGATCCTGCTATCTACGCTCGAGTCACTGGGCTTTGCGGGCACTGTTATACAATGGTTCAGATCTTACCTCACTGACAGGTCATTCAGGGTGTCTTGGAGGGGAGAGGTGTCCAACCTACAGCATCTAAACACTGGGGTACCTCAAGGCTCTGTTCTTGGGCCACTTCTCTTCTCCATCTACACATCATCTCTAGGACCAGTCATCCAGAGACATGGATTCTCCTACCACTGCTATGCTGATGATACCCAGCTATACCTCTCTTTTCATCCTGATGATCCCTCGGTTCCAGCTCGCATCTAAGCCTGCCTGTTGGATATTTCACACTGGATGAAAGATCATCATCTTCAGCTGAACCTCGCAAACACGGAAATGCTTGTAGTTTCTGCCAACTCGACTCTACACCATAACTTTTCAATCCAGATGGATGGGGCAACCATTACTGCATCCAAAATGGTGAAAAGCCTTGGAGTAACGATTGATGACCAACTAAACTTCTCTGACCACATTTCTAGAACTGCTTGATCGTGCAGATTCGCACTCTATAACATCAGAAAGATCCGACCCTTTTTATCTGAACATGCAGCTCAACTCCTTGTTCAAGCTCTTGTTCTCTCCAGACTGGATTACTGCAACTCTCTACTAGCTGGGCTTCCAGCTAACTCTATCAAGCCTCTTCAACTGCTCCAGAATGCAGCAGCACGAGTGGTCTTCAATGAACCTAAACGAGCACATGTCACTCCGCTGCTAGTCCGTTTGCACTGGCTGCCAGTTGCTGCTCGCATCAAATTCAAAGCTCTGATGTTTGCCTACAAAGTGACTTCTGGCTTTGCTCCTTCTTATCTGCTCTCGCTTCTGCAGATGTATGTGCCCTCCAGAAACTTGCGTTCTGTGAATGAACGTCGCCTCATGGTTCCATCCCAAAGAGGAAAGAAATCACTTTCGCGAACGCTCACGCTCAATCTGCCCAGTTGGTGGAATGAACTCCCTAACTGCATCAGAACAGCAGAGTCACTCGCTACTTTCAAGAAACGACTAAAAACCCAACTATTTAGTCGCCACTACACTTCCTAATCTGCAATTGCCTCTCTGAATATCACACTAACTGTACCAAAAAAAAAAACAAAAAAAAAAAAACACCAATACTACTAATACTTCCCTTCTTAGACTTTACAGACCTGAAACTTGCCTACAGCACTTATTCATTGTTGCTCTTGGTTGTGTAAATTGCTTCCTTTTCCTCATTTGTAAGTCACTTTGGATAAAAGCGTCTGCTAAATGACTAAATGTAAATGTAAATGTAATATACTGCATTGTGTGACTTTGACATCTTTCCTCTTCATTTACTACACAGTGCGCTTGCAGATCAGCTACTGGCATTTAAAACAGCCAACAAAGTATTGTAGGAATCGCCACTGTAAGACTTATTTGTATGCTGTTTGTCTGGTTTTCTTTTCTTATTGTTTGTGCAGTTTACTCATTCTCCCAAGATGTTTTCAGTTCTTCTTTAACCGGAGGAGTCTCAGTTTACTCCCTTAGTGAACACCAGCACACCATCTTTAGATGGTCTCTATTTCTAAAGATCCTCTGCATTTCCACCTGCAGCACTGAGACTGAGAATGATCATGTTTTGAAAGCTCCTCATCCTGTTCAGAACTTTTATTCCATCTCATTTCTGAATTAAAGATGCTGATGCCGAATTGTACACTAAACTTAATTCATTTATTTTATTTTCGGCCTAGTCCCTTTATTAATCCGGGGTCGCCACAGCAGAATGAACTGCCAACTGATCCAGCATATGTTTTTATGCAGCGGATGCCCTTCCAGCCGCAATCTCGGGGAAACACATACACAGTCATTCACACACACACTTATACACTACAGTCAATTTTAACATACCCAATTCACCTGTACCGCATGTCTTTGGACTTGTGGGTGAAACCGAAGCACCCGGAGGAAACCCACGCGAACACGGGGAGAACATGCAAACTCCACACAGAAATGCCTACTGACCCAGTTGAGGCTTGAACCAGCAACCTTCTAAGGCGAACGTGCTTCCCACTGCCCCACCGCATTACCCATACACTAAACTGCCTTTGCTTAATCAATTTCCTATTCTGATCTCAAGCCAAGACAATCACTCATAAAGCACCAATCTGATGCCGTATTTTTATGGAGTCATGATGTAGACTTCTTACAAAGTATTTTACAGTATTTTAAAATACAAAATACAAGACACTAAAGTATTTTGATACAAAACAGTGACTCATTTTCATAAAACCCATAAAATACAAATTACAAATTACTATTTTGCTTTTAAAATATATATTTGGAATGCATGTATCATAAATACTGCCCATTCCTGTTTGTAAGGAACTTGTAGCATTTTAATGATATTTCGGCAAATTGAGTAAAATTACTAGAAAGTCTGTAAAATGATCTGATCTTCCATCCCTAAAAATGCTTCTGTCAGTCTATGTCGCTCCTGTCGCTGTTCAGTTGTTCTTCATCTAAAACTCCACATTTATAATCCTCTTAGTCTATGCTGACATTATTTTCAGCAGCTCAAACACTCTAATGGCTAAAGGACAGACGGCTGCTTCTCACTCAGGGCTGCTGTTTATGCTAATGAGGGAGAGATGGGCACAAGTGGGCGGGGCTTTCCCCCTCTGATGACACGTACAAAGGGAACATGTCAATCAAAGTGTTTCTGCAGACTGACTTTATCAAGTCTGATTAGAACAAATAGAATTAACTAATAGCATTAGTGGCTGGAAATTTTCACACACTGCTGACACACAACTGTGCTTAAACACCTTATAAAAGTGATTTCATATCAAAGGTACCATTTAATATAATAATTACTGAACCATCATAAACTCACACTGGACATCTAAAGTCACAGGATCAGAGTATTTCTCTCCATGGTCATTTCTGGCTCTACACTTGTATTCTCCACTGTCATCAGAGCTGATCTTAAAGATGTTGAAGATTCTTCCAGAATTCAGAGATTTATTTTCTTTAAACCAGTTGAAGATCAGAGCAGGAGGGTTTGAGTCGCTGCTGCAGTTCAGAGTCACTGAATCTCCCTCCACTATTACAGCAGATCTATTCATAGACACTGAGATGTTCCTGGGTGGGTCTGACACACAAAAACACAAACGGTTTACAGTTACAATAGTTTTGACATCACAGATTATATTCTAATAGTTTAATGTCACAGTAAGTTTTGCTAACTCACACTGGACATCTAAAGTCACAGGATCAGAGGATTTCTCTCCAAGATAATTTTTGGCTCTACACTTGTATTTTCCGCTGTCATCAGAGCTGATCTTGGAGATGCTGAAGATTCCTCCGAAATTCAGAGATGTATTTCCTTTAAACCAGCTGAAGTTTGCAGGAGGGTTTGAGTCACTGCTGCAGTTCAGGATCACTGAATCTCCCTCCATTATTACAGCAGATCTGTTGGAGATCACAGGAGTATCTGGAGCATCTGCAGGAGAAACGTAAAAACTAAACTTAAAAATAAATATTAAAATATACATCCTAAATATATACAATTTACTAAAATAGCTGGCCTTTTATTTTATTAAATTTTATGTTTTGTGCTCATTTTTAACAATAAAGTAATGGTGTGGTAGTCAGTAAGTAAATGGGAACATTTACTGAATTATTTAAAAGCAGATAAATATTTCATCTTAAATATGAATCCTTTCCTGTCATTCAGACCTGCAACACCTTCCAAACAAAAGTTGTGACTCGAGCAGTTTAGGACTAGCTATCGGGTAAACTGGTAAAATGATGGGATTTTGCATTTTAGGTGATGTCAACAGGTGATTGTAATTATGATCTGGTACAAAATCCGCATCCAAGAAAGGTCTAGTCCTTTAGGAGCAAAGATGGTTTGCTCTCAAGTACGTGAGAAAATGATTAAATTCTGTAAACACAATGTTCCTCAAAGAAAGAGAAGAAGGCATTTAGATATTTTAGCTTCAAAAGTGCAGAACCTCATAAAAAAATTATGAAATCTGAAGGAATTTCATTGTGTAAAGGACAAGGGCGCAAGGCTACACTGAAAAACTGTGATCTACGTTCTCTCAGGCAGAACTGCATCAGGAATCCTCATTCATCAATAAGAATCATATCAACACATGGGCTCAGAACTACTGCGGCAAACCTTTGTCAAGTACCGCAATACAGAGTTACATCCACAAATGCTAGTTAAAACTGTACTGTGCCAAAAGGAAGCCCTGTGTTAACAGTGTCCAGAAGCATCACCGACTTCTTTGGGCTCAGGGGGATCCAGGTTTGAATCAGTGTTTCAGGTATTTTTTGGAAAAAAAAATGGTTCCGTGTGCTCTGGACCAAAGAAGAAAAGGATCATCTAGACCAGTAGTCACCAATCTCCTTCCTGCAGGGTTTAGCTCCAACTTGCCTCAACACACCTGCCTGGGTGTTTCAAGTATACCAAGTAACCTTGATTAGCTTGTTCAGGTGTGTTTGATTAGGGTTGGAGCTAAAATCTGCAGGACACCGGCCCTCCAGGAACAAGTTTGGTGACCCCTGCTTTAGACCCCTAATTTAGCCCGCGAGGATCACACAAGTTGCCCGTGGGCCTGTTATAAAATTAGCTTATCATAGCACCACATACCAGTAAGCTGCATCTAATATTTTTTGTAGCTATTCTTTTTAAATCACACTTGCATTGGTGTAAAATTGAAAATGACATTAAGTTGTATATTAAAAAAAAAACTTTAAAAACAATTTAAGACAAATGAAGTGTTGCATATTGATATTTATCTGTTTCCAATCAATGTTGACAACTATTGTGAGAAATCATTAACATGATCAGTGTCTTCACATAGATGAATATCATTAATTAATAATAATAATTGAGTAAATTTGTTATTAAGAAGTGTGTATCAAACTGGTAGCCCTTCACATTAAACGACACCCAAGAAGTAGCTCTCAGTTTCCAAAACGTTGGTGACCCCTGTTACCAGCTACAAGTTTAAAAGCCAGGGTACAGGTCCAAATCCCTGTAATTGGGGTTGAAATTGGTAGCACATTACTCATCACTGCAAACATATTATGGTATTTCTATGATTTAGAAGAGCCATCAACTTAAATACAGCAATACTTAAATGTTAGGGCCTGACAGGGAACAAGAGGGAAACAGGAACTAAAACACACACAGAGATCAATGACTAAAGACAGGTGAACACGATAATGAGGAACTAAAGCGGGAAACAGAACAAAAGGGAACCAAATGACAAAACACACCTGAAAAAAAGCACAGCAGAGGAGCACATGAAATCATGTGTAATCATGTGCTTTCATATTTGCATATCTGCATAATGTCCTCATATGTTAAACTAATTTTGTCCATGTATTTACCTAGATATAAGCAACAATTTTGTTAAATTAATTTGGTTAACTTTTTTTAAAGAAAAATTCTCACTGTTAAATCATTAACTCAGATATGTCAAAACAGTTCTAATTGGCTGGTAGTAGTTGGGTTAAGGTATTGGTAGGCAAGTACAAGAAGATCATACTTTATAAATACTAATAAACAGCCAATATTGTATTACTCTAAGTTAATACGATAGTGGTACTTCTTAAGACTAAAATCACAGAACAACTCTCATACCATGGTGGCAGTATTGCAGTGAGTATATAACCTTTATGCACCGACTACTTCACATTTATTGTAAGTGTGAATGGTATAAACATGTGAATACTAAAAGGTTTAAATAAAAATTCAAAAACTTACATCTGACATTGAGATAAACAGCAGGAGAGATGTAGTTGTATTTCTGCACACCACAGCTGTAGTGTCCTGCTTCTGTTCTACTGACTGAACTGATGTTGAGTTCATCTCCAATATTAGTCAATGTGTGTGAGTTTCTGTACCAGATGAATGTTGGTGTGTCAGTCAGTTTACAGCTGCTTTTACATGTCAGACGGACTGAATCTCCCTCTGTCACTCTCTCAGGAGACTCCAGCTGAAGATCTGAACACAACACACACATTATATCTAGTGCTGCTCTCATACACTGATTATTATTCTACATAATGACCACAAGAAGAGAGAAACCTCAGGAGAGTCACCTGTGACTGAGAGACGCACTCCTGGAGTGCCTGTCCATTTCCCTCCATTTTGATCAGTAATGAATCTGAAGTAATACTGGTGTTCATCTTTCTTTGTCACATGACTCAGTCGGACAGTGCAGATCTGCTGTTTATCTCCCAGATACTGAAGCCTCTGACTGTATTCAGGGTCCACAGACAGATCTGGAAAACCATTTACATCTTTGGTCCAAAACACTTTCATGATCTGATGTACAGTAGTCGGGTATGTAAAAGTGCAGCTGATTGTAATTGTTGAGTTCTGTAGTGCACAGATTTTTAAAGTACTGTATTTCACACCCCAACTAGCAGCAGAAACCCCTGAAACACAGAAATAGATAAACTGGACTATAAGACACTAGGGACACATGCAGTTTTACTAGTTTTAAACAGTGACATTTTAATCGTTTAAATATAAATAATGATCTCAGTGTGAGTGACTTCAGATTTGTTGAACAATAAAAATACACAGAGCAGAACAGCTGGAAAAAAAAAACTGCTGAGAAAAAACAAGGTCACACTTTATTTTGATGGTATGTTTGTTGAGTTTAAGTTACATTGCAACTGATTCTCTATACATTATAAGTAGACTGTTAGGTTGGGGTTAGGGTTAGTAAGTTGACATGTACTTGCAAAGTTCCCTATAGTCAGTTAAATGTCTGTTGAAGGATCAGAATCAACAGTAAACAGACTAATACTCAAATGGACCATCAAAATAAAAACAATAATGCTTTTAACATTTAAACACTGGAGGGTGCAGAATTATTTTCATTGAACGTACAAATTCACAATAATAAATTCCCACTAGCTGTCAAAGACAGCTTTGTGTGTGTTGTGGTTCAATGAAATTGGCTCTTGTCATGAAGATCGTACCAGTACTTTAGTGTGTCACAGCTTAAAACAATGGTGTGGAAAAAATGACTAGACAGGAGGATTTTGTGACACTTCAGCACAGACTAACTTCCTATATCAGAGAGAAGATGATCAGAAACCTGCTGAATAATGTCTGAGTGTGTGGTGTGTGTAAATGCAGAGAAATAAAGCAGTGATGTGAATGTAAGATTGACTCACTGTGAATGATGAGCAGAAAGATCAGATGAAGAGCAGGAGCCATTCTGAGCCACATCAGCATCAAATCTATCTAGAATCCAGCATTAATCATCACTTCTACACTCATCAACAGTAAATGTACATCACCCTAAACAGCTCTTAGTGTTAGGAAGATCTTTACACATCTGCAGATTATTAATGCACAACATCAGTGTGTGTAAATCAACTGATGACTGAGATCAACACAAGATATTTCTCATGTCACAAATCATGTGTTATATGAGCTTCATCTACACTAATCATCAGTCAAATACCAGTGTGTTTGTCTTACCGTGTTGAAGAGCAGCCGATCAACAGCAACTAACCGTGAACAACAGAACTATCAGTGTTCCTCTTTCAGCAAAACCACACCAAACCTGCCAGTGACTTATTAAACAAATTTGCATGTTTTTTTTCTCTTCAAGTTAATTTATAGACAGCAAGATATAGTATGCACATCAGTGTTTATACAGTATCAGCAGCAGGAGATGGAGACCACAAAGTGACATCCTATAATGATGAGCATTAATTGTATTTGTTATAATCAGACTTGATAAAAACAGTCTGCAGAAACACTTTGATTGACATTCTCCCCTTTTTAAACAGCACAATCTCTTTTGCATTTAAAGCAACAGTCACCAAAATGTCACGATTCAGATCAATGCCTGAAAGGGTCAGTAGCTATTTTGAGCTGAAACTTCACACACACACACTCTAGGTCAGGGGTCACCAATCTCGTTTCTAGAGGTCCTGCAGGGTTTAGCTCCAACTTGCCTCAACACACCTGCCTGGGTGTTCCAAGTATACCCAGTAAGACCTTGGCTGTTTCTCAATATGCGTTCTTCAGCGGTCTTGCTTCCTCGTGTTCTTGTGTAAAGTCATCATCAGTTTAATCATTTCCCCCACAGTCCACAACACACACGCTATAGATGAATTAAATAAGCTAAATTCACCATAGTATATGTGTGTGATTGAGTATGTTTGGGTGTTTCCAGAAGTTAGGGTGCTTTCACACTAGCACTTTTGGTCTGCACCCGGGTTTGTTTGACATCATAGTACGGTACATTTAGCTAGTGTGAACATGTCTTCTGAACTCGGGTGCGCACCTATGAACCTATGAGGTGGTCTGGGGTACGGTTTATGCAAACTCTGGTATGGTTCACTTCTGATAAGAATGCAGTCGTACCAAATAACATAACATTACACTATTCATGGGGCCACCGATTATGAAAAACAATCTTGTTAAAATCTTAACAGTTATAGACTGATTTTACAACATTTTATATATATATATATATTTATATATATATATATATATATATATATATATATATATATATATATATATATATAAAACAGCTATATGATTATTATAGGCTTCTTGGCATCGGTCGGGGCCCCCTAATTCCTCGGGGTCCTAAGCGGCTGCTTACCTTCCTTATTAATCAAGTCTTCCCCTGGGCGTTTCCCATTACTGGGTTGCAGGTGGAAGGGCATCTGCTGTGTAAAACATATCTGGAATAGTTGGTGATTTAATTGGCTGTGGTGACTCCTGATGAATAAAGGGACTAAGCCGAAAAGAAAATGATTGAAATAAAGCACATCAATTACCATACAAGAGACAGGTGAAAATATGAATAATTGATGCTAGCTATATTCTGATACTATTTTAAAATTAATCAGGTTGCAAGTTGATTTACTGAAATCATGCAATTAAAGAAAGACCACTAAGTAAGAGCAAAACTCATCTCGGTCACACTTTATTTGAATGTATAATGCATGTTATTAACAAGCTAAATATTGATTAAGATTTTTAGTTCAATAAACTGCTAATTACTAACAAAAAAAAAAAACAACAACTACTATTCTGTAACTTTACAGAAGTGTAAAAAAAAACAAGAAAGAAAAACCAACAGCAATGTGTTATTATTTTTGTACAATCATGTAGTGATTGTTTCCACCAATAGAGGGCGCTGTGAGCTGCTGATTGTTCGCTCACACTGCTGTTTTAGCCATAAAGAACTGAACCAGCATGAGAGCACGTTCATACAGTCAACGGCCATCAAAAAAGACAGGAGTAAGAGATTAAGCCTGAGGAAAGTGAGTGAGTTTGGTTTTATGATACAACTGTAAACATTTTCATGCTTGTGTTCATATGAGGAACTCACCCTCTGTCTCCTCGGGTCGGGCCAGTTTGCTTTTGTTTTTCTGCTACAGTGAAACTGAAAGCAACCTGTGCTGTGTCTACAGGAACATGATACAGGAAAAGATATTAGGAGTGTGTGTGAGAGAGAAAAAGAGAGTGCATGATTGATTATAATAGTTAGTGTGTATGTTTGAATGTTCATGTTTGTGTGTGTGTGTGTGTGTGTGTGTGTGTGTGTGTGTGTGTGTGTGTGTGTGTGTGTGTGTGTGTGTGTGCGCGCGTGTGTGTATTTCATTTTCTTCACTGACAATTCTCTAATTAGACAACAGAATTAGGCAACAATCTACTGTATATTTACATGAATCATAGTATCCAGCACAATGTATTTTGCTGTATGTCTGTTCAGCAGTAAAAATAACACTCTAAGTGTTTCTGTGCCGCATTTAAGAAGTTCCAGAGTTTTTCCTGCTGTTTTGGCTTGACTGTTGCTCACAGCTTTGAATGAATAGTCTTTACTGAATTACCTGCATGAGTTCACAGTGTTCAAACAAACAAAGAAAAAAAAAATGTCTTAGGGAACACAAATATGGAGCCAGATCAGTCTTAGAAATAAAACATTTGAAAAATAACACAAAAAAATGCATTCGTAAAATTCAAAACATTGTTGAACATGTGAATTACCCAAAATAGGTAAATATGTGCATTGATGATTTGTGTATTTACGAATTGTGTTGCAAATTTCCGAATTGGATTTGTGTATTTATGAATTGCGTTTTGAATTTTTAATTTTCAAATTGGATGTGTATTTATGAATTGCGTTTTGAATTTTTAATTTTCAAATTGGATGTGTATTTATGAATTGTGTTTTGAATTTCCGAATTGGATTTGTGTATTTACGAATTTTGTTTTACATTTTACGATTTGTGTTTTGAATTTCTGGATTGGATTTGTACATTTACGAATTATGTTTTACATTTTTAAATTGTTTTAATTGGATGTCAACGTCAATCAATTTTATTTATATAGCACTATTAAACACAACCAAATGTTGACCAATGTGCTGAACAATAAATCACAAAGAACAGGTATAAAATTATAGCTAAAACAAACAATTCTCACAAATAGTTAATATAGGTAAAAACAACCAAATCTCACTAATAGTTATTATAGCTAAAAACAAACAATTCTCACTAATAAAATGCCAAATCAAAAAGGTAAGTTTTCAACCTAGATTTGAAAACAGACAGCGATGAAATAGACCTAATACAGAGGGGCAGAGCATTCCACAAAGTAGGACCAGCTACTGCGAAAGCCCGCTCACCCCTGCATTTCAGCCTTGACTTCGGATTGTATAAAAGTCTCTGGTTTGATGACCGACCAGGCTGATGTTCAGTCAACAGGTCTGACAGGTAGGAAGGAGCTAAGCCATTTAGAGATTTAAAAACCAGGAGAAGAATTTTAAAAGTGACACGATAGTGCACAGGCAACCAGTGCAGAGAGCGCAGTACTGGTGTGATGTGGTCAAATTTTCTGGTGCTGGTTAAAAGCCTTGCAGCAGCATTTTGAACTAGCTGTAGGCGGGATAGAGTTGTCTCACTGATCCCAAAATATAGCGCATTACAGTAGTCCAATCTTGAAGTAATAAAAGCATAAATTATTTTTTTATTGTGTATTTACGAATTGTGTTTTCAATTTCTGATTTAGATTTGTGCATTTACAAATTGTGTTTCGAATTTAGAAGTTGGATGTGTATTTACAAGTTGTGTTCTTAATTGGATTTGTGTATTTACGAATTGTATTTTGAATTTCCGAATTGGATTTGTGTATTTAGGAATTGTGTTTTAAATGTACGCATTCAATTTCCTAAATGTGAATTGAATTGTGTATGAATTTTATTTTGTAAATGTATTATTCTTTCAGACTGATCTGGCTCCATACACAAGGCCTGTGCTGAAACATTAACATTGTGCATTGCTTTCTGTTCTCAGGGAGTGTGAAGCAGCATGCAGTCGGACAAACCATTTCAATGTCAAACTTGAGAGCAAAATACGACATTAGGAGTTATGAACTTCACATTTGTTTGTTGCAGTCAGAGCAGCATTTATTGAGTCAATTATTGACACAGATTGGTGTTTACAGGGTTATGTGCTACACAAATGCAGCATATAAAGTGTGTCCTCGTTGGGGACGTGGCTGCAGATAAAACCAAACTTCTGAACAGCTACACCATTGGTAAATGTCTAAATGATTACAACCACACTGTGTTTCATAATTATGCTGCCACTGTGATGGTCAATGGAGATCCAGTGACTGTGGGACTGTTTGATACAGCGGGACAGGAGGATTACGTCAAACTTCGATCACTTTCCTACTTTGATATGGATGTGTTTTTGATCTGTTTTTCTCTTGTGGATCCACAATCATTTGAGAATGTCAGTGGAAAGTGGTTTCCAGAAGTCAAACATCATTGCCCAAACACTCCTATAATTCTAGTCGGGACTCAACTTGACCTGAAGAATGACACTGAGACCATCAAAAAGCTGAAAGAGAAGAAGCAAACCCCCGTCACCTTCCATCGAGGCCTGGCTACAGCTGAAAAAATAGGAGCTGTGAAGTATGTGGAGTGCTCAGCAGAAACACTGACGGGGGTTAAAACATTGTTTGATGAAGCCGTTTGTGCAGTTCTGGTCAATGAGCTGAAAATGAAGAGCAAATGCTTGATCTCCTGAACTGAATGCAATCTGAGCTGGAGACGATAATGATGACACAATTATGTGTGAATTTTGGGAAAGAAGATATACTACATGATCTTATTCTACATTCCAATGCCTTACTTAACTACTATTTAACTACCTCTTCAAAAGCAGCTATAATTATAGAGGTGATAGTTAGGTGATTTTTAATGGGTTGTTAATATTAAAATTTAAACATTAAAATCAGTTACCTCAGAGCCCAGAGAAATTGACAGTGCATCTGGACACTGTTAACATAGGGCTTCCTTTTGGCACAGTGCAGTTTTCACTGGCATTTGTGGATGTAACGCTGTATTGTGGTTCTTGACAAAGGTTTGCCACAGTAGTCCTGAGCTCATGTGGTGATATGCCTAATAGATGAATGAGGATTCTTGATGCAGCACTGCCTCAGGGATCAGAGATTACGGTTGTTCAGTTTAGGCTTGCACTCTTCTTCTTTAAGCACTGGAATTCCTCGAGATTACTTGAATATTTGAATGATGTTCTGCACTGTTGATGGTGAAATATCCAAATGTATTCCTCTCTTTCTTTGAGAAACATTGATTTTAAACATTTCAATCATTTTTTCATGTATTTGTTGGCAATCTGGTTATCCACGGCCCACCTAATCTCCTGCAGGACTAGACCAGGGGTGCCCAAACTTTATCATATAATGGGCCAAAAACCTAACTTGATTGAGGGCTGTGGGCCAAAGTTTAATATACCAAACTGTATTACATAATATTTGCTCATTTGTTTGCTTATTATTAAAAAAAACTAGAAAAAGTTGCTTTAAAACATATTAAATGATGATGCTGTATAAATTTTTATTATAGTAAAAACAAACAATCCCATTTATAACACAATAGAGCTCAATACTGAGTAAAGTTTATTTATAAACTAATTTCGAGAGGATCATGTGCTTATGATTGCTCCCAGATTATCCAATCAGAGAGTTTTTCTTATATCAATATCTTCGTCTTGAAGAACCCTCCCATATTTCCCCTCCTTTCCAGACAGGCAACACGGCAGCCCAGTGGTTAGCACTGTTGCCTCAAAGCAACAATGTTTCTGGTTAAAGTCCCTTCTAAACCAGATGACATTTCTGTGCGGAGTTGTGCATGTGTTCTCGTGGGTTTTCCGCAGGTTCTCCAGTTTCCTCCCACAGTCTAAATAACATGCACCCTAAGTAAATTGAACACACAAAATTGAGACCATAGCCAAGCTCATAGTGAGTACACCTCTCCTTAGTCATCCATATCCGTCATTTAGCTAAAAATAAGCAGGGGGGAGTTTATTGAGTTCTACCTGAACTCAAACTCCACTCTCGCCCTGCAAACAGATCTCACAAGCTCAGGGCTCTCTCCCGGGACAGCACGCCAAACAAGCTTTAATATCAATCATCAGCTAAGTGTGAACTCTTGAAATACACTAGTCGAGCTGCTCCTGCCTTTGCCTTGATTTGCTTGATTTGTCTTGTGAATTGTTCTCTCTGTGCATCTGTCAAGTGACAGTATTACATTTTAAAAGTGTGATTCATATGAAACATTTCAATTAAACAAAGAAACAAAAGGGTATAGATGAAACCTGAAACGACGATCTCTGTAAAAGCCATTTACCCCAACCAATTCTCCATCTCTTTTCAGATAAGATGGTGGGCCAAACCAAAGGTTATCATGAGGTTATCAAGTTAATGGTTCATTCCGCTGTGGTGACCCCTGATAAATAAAGGGACTAAGCTGAAAAGAAAATGAATGAAATAAAGCACATAAATTATAATAAAAAATTGATGCTAGCTATATTCTGATGATATGTTAAAATTAATCAGGTTATGGGTTGATTCACTGAAATCATGCAATTAAAAAAGACTTAAGAGCAAAATTCGTCTCAGTCACACTTTATTTTAATGTACTATGCATGTTATTAACAAACTAAATATTAATTAAGATTTTTAGTTCAATAAACTGCTAATTACAAAAAAAAATCTACTATTCTGTAACTTTACAGAAGTGTAAAATAAACCAACAGCAATGTGTTGTTATTGTTTGACTGGGCAATCGTTTAGTGATTGTTTCCACCAATAGAGGGCGCTGTGAGCTGCTGATTGTTTGCCCACACTGCTGTTTTAGCCATGAAGAACTGAGCCAGCATGAGAGCACATTCATACAGTCAACGGCCATCAAATAAGACAGGAATAAGAGATTAAGCCTGAGGAAAGTGAGTGAGTTTGGTTTTATGATACAACTGTAAACGTTTTCATGCTTGTGTTCATATGAGGAACTCACCCTCTGTCTCCTCGGGTCGGGCCAGTTTGCTTTTGTTTTTCTGGTACAGTGAAACTGAAAGCAACCTATGCCGTGTCTACAGGAACATGATACAGGAAAAGATATCAGGAGTGTGTGTGTGTGAGAGAGAAAGAGAGTGTGTGTGTGCTTATGTGTGCATGATTGATCATAATAGTTTGTGTTTATGTTTGAATGTTCATATTTGTGTGTGTGTATTTGATTTTCTTCACTGACAATTCTCTAATTAGACAACAGAATTAGGCAACAATATACTGTATATTTACATCAATCATAGTATCCAGCACAAGGTATTTTGCTGTGTGTCTGTTCAGCAGTAAAAATAAGACACTGAATGTGTTTCTGTGGTGCATTTAAGAAGTTCAAGAGTGTTTCCTGGGGGCTGTTCCAGAAAGCAGGTTATGTGACATACCCGGGTAAGTTTGAGAGTAAGTAGGTGGATAACCTCAACTTTGGTTCCAAAATCGGAGGTAACTTCTGGGTATGTTAAGTAGCCATAGCAACTTACTCTCTGAAGATAACCTGCTCCGGAGCAGGTTATGTTCAGAGAGTAAGTTGCTATGTTTCAGAGTTTGTCTGTTTCAGAGAGTTTACTGAGCATTGCGTGCTCTTTTGATGAGAATATTTATGGATGTGGACACACAGATACAAGTTTTTTCGCTGTGAGAGGGTTATAAGTGCATAGTTTTTTTCATAACCAAATTCATAATGTTAATGTATTTAACAAACCTTTTTGAAATCAAATGTGACAAACCGCGGGTCTGTGCTTACCATAAAAAACATTTAGTGCAGCTCTTTGTATTCGCGTCAGGGCATTTTAGGCAACTGTACAATGTGGCAGTATGACCACCTGTACAGTATGCCTGACACTGAACTGTTTTTTACACTTTTTAACAGTTCCTTGGTCATACATTACTGCGTATCATTACACAGATTATTCAGAGCACGGGAATAGCGTAGTGGACAGTGCGTCGATAAAGAACAACAGAGCGCACAACGGAGCGAGTTCGAATCTCACTTACAGTTCTTGTGTTTTTTCTCTCCTTCTGCACCCTCACATTTTTCTGTATAATATTATAAGTGGCAGCTTTGTCTTTTGTAGGAAAATATATCTTTAATTTAAGATGTAGGACGTCGTTCTTATATATACATTCACGCACACACACCTACATTTTTTAATATAATATTTTTTTCAGGGTTTCTAAATGCTATTGTGTGCATTAATTGCAGCCGATTTTAAAGCTCCATCAGTCACTAAAGGACACTGATAATATAAAATTTGTCCAAAGTATAAGTGTGCAGGTACAACTTAATTTTCTATCCTTAATCTTTTGGTATTTTAACTATTAAACTCATTACTGCTTCCACTTACCAGCTCATCACACACCCCACCTCATCACTATGTCGAGGCTAAATGGCTGATTTTCAGGAAGTAATGATTCAAGTGTATAACACAAATATAGTCAAAAAAACTATAAAGCAAATGTTGCTTAACACAATGTTTATTTTTATTATATTTGTATTATAAAATAGAATCATTACTGGGCACTACATTGTTACTTGCTGGAGGACAAAAGATACCCTTTTCTGCCTTATACGATAACACGTACCTGCAGCCTGACCCAGAGGAAATCTCAGTGACCCAAGCAGACAAAACAGATGGAAGAGTGCTAAAAATATATAATTAGTCAAAAAACTATGTTTAATCAAATAGTTTGATCTGTTGATTTCTTCATTTCCTGAAATAAAATGAATATTTTTGTACACTGCTTTATACACACACCTTTCAACGTGTAACATATTTTTCGTATACATTTCTCACCTTAAGGTGATGCTCATGTGACTTTATCTTTGAAGATGGACCTTATACAGCTACTTTAGAATTTAAATATGCAGATAAAAGATTTTGTGATCCAAGAGTAATATTCAAATATGGAAAAGTGCAGAAAATTACACTGCTTGTTAGTTGAGGCAGAAGGAACTTCGTCTGCATGCAAAATAAAAAGAACCTAAAGCTATCTGACAACAATCACAACAGTGACAGAGTGTGTGGTTTAAGTCAAAAACTCAACCACTGAAAAGCCTTTATTATAGGACACGGACACAGCAGTGAGACAGGCCTCTTTCTATAAGCTGCATGTCAGAAAGAATATTCTAGAGTGTTAAATAAAGAGCTCCAGTAATTAAATATTACCTTTTATGATAATGTTTCTGTGTTTAATGACTTTGGACAGAGTTCTAGCTCCAGAAAGATTACAATTTCTATAAGCCTTATTAGTCAATACACATATTGGCCTTAAGAAATTAATGGCAAGAAAAATAAATGCATGAATGGTTACACAACATACTCAAAAAGGATGTTAAAGAGTAGTTTAATTTATCATTACAATAAAATGGAGGGTGGCATGTGTAATTTAATGACCTAATAAATTTTCTTATTATTTATTTTTTATTTTCTTATCTATTTCTTATTCTATATTTCTTTCCTTCGTTGAAGCAGATGTGTAATCTCTGTGTTTAAAACCTCTAGCTCTGCCTCTGTAAAGTGCGTTGCCCTTTTTTCCTCACCGTGACTTTCTATGGTGACTCGTGAATTCGGCGATCTACTGAAAATGCCTTCAGGTGTGTGCCGTGCACGTGCATTAACCCGCGGTTATCTTCAGGAGGTTGATTTAACTAACTCTTGTCACCTGTTTTGGAACCAACATACTCGCGGTAAGCAGGTTTTGGGTAAATCAACCGAGAGTTTAGGTTTTAGCAGATGGTAAGTTAACCCAGCTTTCTGGAATACCCCCCTGCTCTTTTTGATTGACTGTTGCTCACAGCTTTAAATGTATAGTGTTTACTCAGTTACCTTCGTGACTTTACAGTGTTAAAACTAAGAAAAATAAATTTTAGGGAACACAAGCATGGAGCCAGATCAGTCTTAGAAATAATACATTTGCAAAAATAACACTCATACATACAGTACATGCACAACACAATTCACATTTACGAAACCACACTTATAAATTCTTAACACGATATTTGAATTCCTCAAATAAAGTGGATGTGTGCATTAATGATTTGTGTTGTGTATTTACGAATTGTGTTTTAAATTTCCGAGTTGGATTTGTGTATTTACGAAATGTATTTTGAATTTTCGAATTGGATTTGTGTATTTACAAATTGTGTTTTGAATTTTCGTTGAGGATTTGCGTATTTATAAATTGTATTTTGAATTTCTGAATTGGATTTGTGCATTTACGAATTGTGTTTTGACATTCCGGATTGGATTTGTGTATTTACGAACTGTGTTTTGACATTCCGAATTGGATTTGTGTATTTACAAATTGTGTTTTGAATTTTCGTTTAGGATTTGCGTATTTATAAATTGTATTTTGAATTTCTGAATTGGATTTGTGTATTTCCGGATTGAATTTTGAATTTCCGAATTGGATTTGTGTGTTTACGAATTGTGTTTTGACATTCCGAATTGGATTTGTGTATTTACGAACTGAATTTTGACATTCCGAATTGGATTTGTGTATTTACGAACTGTATTTTGACATTCCGAATTGGATTTGTGTATTTACGAACAGTGTTTTGACATTCCGAATTGGATTTGTGTATTTACGAACAGTGTTTTGACATTCCGAATTGGATTTGTGTATTTACGAACTGTATTTTGACATTCCGAATTGGATTTGTGTATTTACAAACTGTGTTTTGACATTCCGAATTGGATTTGTGTATTTACAAATTGTGTTTTGAATTTTCGTTGAGGATTTGCGTATTTATAAATTGTATTTTGAATTTCCGAATTGGATTTGTGTATTTCTGGATTGAATTTTGAATTTCCGAATTGGATTTGTGTATTTACGAATTGTGTTTTGACATTCCGAATTGGATTTGTGTATTTACGAACTGTGTTTTCACATTCCGAATTGGATTTGTGTATTTACAAACTGTGTTTTAAATGTACACATTAAATTTCCTAAATGTGAATTGAATTGTGTATGAATTTCATTTTGTAAATGTATTATTTTTTCAGACTGATCTGGCTCCATACACAAGGCCTGTGCTGAAACATTAACATTGTGCATTGCTTTCTGTTCTCAGGGAGTGTGAAGCAGCATGCAGTCGGACAAACCATTTCAATGTTCAACTTGAGAGCAAAATACGACATTAAGAGTTATGAACTTCACATTTGTTTGTTGCAGTCAGAGCAGCATTTATTGAGTCAATTGTTGACACAGATTGGTGTTTACAGGGTTATGTGCTACACAAATGCAGAATATAAAGTGTGTTGTCGTTGGCGACGCGGCTGTAGAAAAAACAGCATTATTATTCAGCTACACCACCGGTAAATGTCAGGATGGTTATGTCCCCACTGTGTTTGATAAATTGTCTGTCGATTTGGTGGTTGATGGGAATGCAGTGGCTCTGGGACTGTGGGATACAGCAGGACAGGAGGATTATACCATACTTCGTCCACTTTCCTACCCTAATACGGATGTGTTTTTGGTCTGTTTTTCTTGTGTGGGTCCGCAGTCATTTGAGAATGTCAGTGAAAAGTGGCTTCCAGAGGTCAGACATCATTGCCCAAACACTCCGATAGTTCTAGTCGGGACTAAACTTGATCTGAAAAATGACAAGGAGACCATTGAACATCTGAAAGAGAAGAAACAAACCCCCATCTCTTTCCACCGAGGCCTGGCTAAAGCTGAAGAAATAGGAGCTGTGAAGTATCTGGAGTGCTCAGCGAAGACACTGAAGGGTGTTAAAACAGTGTTTGATGAAGCCATCCGTGCAGTTCTAAACCCACAAGAGGAGAATATAAGAAAGAGAAAGTGTTTAATCTCCTGAACTGACTGAATACAAACAGAATGAGTTTTATAAAGCATATTAATTAATCACAAAGTAAGTGATTAGCTAATGCTACAACCCCAAATTAAAAAAGTTGGGACAGTATAGCAAACACCAATAATAAAAAGGAAGTAGTGATTGCTAAATCACACAAGTGGTGCTCGCTGCAGAGCCGTTTGAGGAGAGCTGAGCTCCAGCGAGGGGGAGCTTAAGCTTGAGCTCCACCTTTTTTGCACTTCTTCTACGAGTGATGTCACTGGGGGTAGGGTTAGGGGTGGGGTTGGTGTACGCATTAAAACAGCTTACAGGAGGAGGAGCGACAGCTCAGGCTCCCCCTCGCTGGAGCTCAGCTCTCCTCAAATGGCTCTGCATTTGCAGCTCTCTCAAATCACAACACAGCCGCAGCCAGGACTTTTCAATGGTGTAGAGAATGTGGTTTTGCATTGTCTTGTTAAAATATGCAAGGGTGTCTCTGAGAGAAAAGGCAGCAAATTCTGCTTGGCTTCCATTTCTTCCAAAAAATACCTGAAACACCTGATTTACCTGACCACAGTACACGTTTCCACGGTGGGATGCCTTTGAGCCCAGACATGTCAATGAAACTTCTGGACATTGTTAACATAGGGCTTCCTTTTGGCACTTTTCACTGGCATTTGTGGCTGTAACTATGTGGCTATGTAACTGTTGTGGGACTTGACAAAGGTTTGCCACAGTAGTCTTGAGCCTATGTGGTGGTATCAGCTTGATTAACTGATTTGCATGCTTTTTAAAATTAACATCAAGACCAAAATCATCTTCACGCACAGCAAAATTCCTCAGAGTTAAATTTACCTAGTTCAGAGTGTCTTTGGTCTCTGTTACCAAACAGGTTGGCAGTAAGTAAAGCTGCTGTTTGTGGAGTTGCTTAAAGATCCTCTGCTGAGATTTTGAGAGATTCAGTGTTTTATATATATGTTTTTTGTATTTCAGCTGATTTGATCTAACGTTGTGACTGAAGTTGGTTATTGTTCTGTGTTTCTGTATATTATCATCAATCATCACCCAATTTATCCTTTCATTGTTTTATTAACCTGAGAAACTTTAACTCAGTTTAGAGATGGACCAAATACTATCTGGGCTTTTGCTGTGATGGCTTCTGCAAACAAACATTTTCAACTCAACGTCTTTACCTATGTTTTCACATTTCAGTACAAACTTTTTGTGTTTGTGAGGATAAATAGTGTTGATCGTTATTTCAAGGTCAAGGATGGGCAGATAAATACTGATACTAGGACTGTTGGTTAATACTTCAGTGAGAAGTTTCACCATTGTTTGTATGAAACAGTCATCATCATGACATTACTATAATTACCCATAATTTCCTTATATTCTTAAAGGGATAGTTCACCCAAAAATTAAAGTTGACTCACTGTTTACTCACTCTGAAGTGGTTTCAAACCTTTTTTAAAATTTTGTTTAACACTAAATTAGTTATTCTGAAGGAATCTGAAAATCCTGTAACCACTGACCTCCATAGTATGAAACACACATGCTATAGAAGTCAGTAGTTAAAGGCTTTCAGCTTCTTCACAATATCTGCATTTGTGTTTAACCAGTCAGACAGGCTTGGAGCTTAAATAGGAAACAGTGAATAAGAGCGATTTCAGATTTAGTCCAAGACCAACCAAACCTGCCTCAAAGCCTCGTGTTTATTCAACACATATACAAATATAAAGAACACTGTGACCTGTTTGACAGGAAAATGTCCTAATTTTAAGAGAAATGTACAGTATTATGTCAATAAAATAACTTCATCTGCAGAAGGTGTTAACCATTGTCTGTGCACCTTATGTGGGAAATATGTTTGTTGTTTAAAAAAGTGTTTAGTCTGTAATTCATTCATTTTCCTTCAGCTTAGTCCCTTATTTATCAGGGGTAGCCAAAGCCGAATGAATTGCTGACCTATCTAGCATATGTTTTATGCGGCGGATGCCTTTTCTAGCTGGGAAACACCCATATGGACTCACATTTACACACACACTCATACATTACGGCCAATTTAGTTACTCAATTCACCTAGAGCACATGTGTTTGGACTAGGGTTGGGCATCTAAGCTATAATGCCGATCCGATGCGCATCTCGATACATTTGTGACATATTGCGATGCAACACGATACGATTCACACCCATATCACGATACAATGCGATAATTCAGCACTAACTAATTAGATCAAGTTTATGAGATGATGTAAGAAATGATGCTGTGCCATTGAATGAGTTTGATTATTTATTAACCAAGTAAAACCAAGACTTTTTTTACAAACTAGCTTTTCTCTCAGAGCCAGAGTGTCAGTTTACAGTAGAGGGCCATTTTAGAACATATAGCACATATTATTTAAGTATTTTCAAGATAAACAGAATGTATAAGTGCAATATATATTATAAAGGTATATATTTGCTCTCTTTCAACTTAAAGGTTTACCATTGCACAACAAGAATTGTGATTTAACTTTTCAACTATGAAAACAAGTTTTACAAAGATATATTTTGCCACTGAATATTCAAAACTTAAGGTCGTGAACTAGCAGTGTTATGCTGCTTTGAAACATCACTGTCACTGTAAACAACAGGCTAATAAAAATATTATTAAATACAAATTAACAGGAGGAGGTGTTTAAAACCTTCGTTCTCCGTGACACTAGGCTGAATATCTTTGCAGATGAACAATGCAATAGCATTCGTTATTGGCGTAGAGCGAGCAGAACTGTTGCGCAAGGAGAAAACTTTCAATGCTTTTCTCACCACTTTTGGAGCTGGTAGCTACAGTTGAAGCAGAGCAGGAAGCCGGGGATGCAGGAACACTGGAAGATGCTTTCACAACAACACCGTGGCGCCGCTTCAAGTGAGATATCAGATTAGTCGTACTGCCCGCGTATTTTACAGATGCGCGGCACATTTTGCAAATTGCATCTGTCCTGTCAAGTCGTCCATCCTTTTTGCAGAATCCATAATGTTGCCATAATTTAGATTTAAAACTCAGTGGGGAATAAATTGTTTGTTTTGCTTTTTGCGCTTTCTGAGGGCGCTCCACTAGCTTCATCCGCACACCTGATACACTGAGTTGTAGTGTAAGTGTACACATCCGCAAGTCCGTTGCTAATGCATACTTTACGTAGGTCGATTAAATTATGCGCCAAATATAGGTTGACAACACTTGCTAATAAATAAAAAATACATTCTATATTAAAAATATAAGCTGTATCTTGGAAAAACGATGCATCTCGCAAAAAACGATGCATCTCGAATTGCTTCCAAAATTTCATTCATCCTCTGCTGCTCAACCGATGCACTCGCATCGTGCACGCGCATGACCGCGTATCAATACATACCGGTTAATCTTCCCATCCCTAGTTTGGACTGTGGGGGAAACCGGAGGATACCCACGCCAACACGAGGAGAACATGCAAACTCCACACAGAAATGCCAACTGACCCAGCCTTATTGTTTTATTTAAAAAGTTTGAATGGAAAGTTTTTCTGAAAGGCTTAAGGTTGTCATATTTCAGGGAAAATAGCCACTCTATCAACCCTATTGTCTTCAGCTATCATAATCATCTGAGAGTGCAGGGGAGCGCGGCTTTAAAATAAACCAGACGAGCAACAAACGTGTCAGGTGAGTTCAAAACTTCACGTCTGCCTTCAGCTTCAGTCAAATCAGGACTTATTTTATGACGGACATTGCTTAGAAAAGCGTGAGGAGTGAGCACAGATGAAGGATATAAAGTGTGTGGTTGTTGGAAGCATGGTGGGAAAATCATGCCTTCTGGTGAGCTACACCACCAATGCATTTTCAGTTCAGATTGTTCCTACTGTCTTTGATCATTTTTCTGCCAATGAGATTGTTGATGGGAATCCAGTGAGACTACAACTGTGGGATACAGGAGGAAATGAGGAATATGACAGGCTTCGAGAAATGTCCTACCCAGAGACAGATGTGTTCTTGATCTGTTTCTCTACTGTGGAATCAGAGTCATTTGAGAATGTCAGTGAAAAGTGGCTACCAGAAGTCAGACATTTTTGCCCTGACATACCGATAATTCTAGTCGGGACTCAACTTGATCTGAAATATGAAAAGTGGAAAATTGAATATTTGGAAAAGAAGAAACAAACCCCCATCTCCTTCCATCAAGGCCTGGCTAAAGCTGCAGAAATAGGAGCTGTGAAGTATGTGGAGTGCTCAGCAAGAACACTGAAGGGGGTTAAAACAGTGTTTGAGGAAGCCGTCCGTGCAGTACTGGACCCGCAGAGAGGAAAGCCTACAGTGAAGAAAAGAAAGAGAAAGTGTTTAATCTCCTGAACCGACTGACTGCACATATAATACAATCTGAACTCACCTGACAGCCAGAGGTGATCCAATGTAGAAACTGTGAGTTAATAAAACACATTTCTTATGAGAAAACATAAAAAATAATTGCTGATATGGTTTTTTTTTTTATGTATAAGTTTCTTTTTAAGTGGGCAAGAGCTAATCGTCACCTTAGAATAAGGTTCTATCTGATATTTTTGTCAAAATTGAGTTATCAACAATTTATTTAAATTATGGGATGCTTTTTTATAAGTTGTTTACATTTTAAGACTATCAAATGTTACACACATACTGTTTGCTATGGAATGCAAAAACTCCTAATCTCTTAAAATCATTCAGAATGCAGATAGAACCTATTAATTCCAAGATGACGAAATGTTTAATGTTTTCTTCAAACGAAATATTTCTTATATAAATCAACATCTACAGCTCTGTTTTCATTTTTTTCTGAATTTATTAGAGATGTTTGTGGGAAATCTTCACCATTGAGGTGATTAGTTATTTCAGACCAATTCAGGGCAGAAAAATATTGCTAATATTAACCCTTTAACGTTTTAACACCAGTTTTTAATAATGTTTATAAAGCACATTTTGCAGGGATAAGAACAGGAAAATGTGGACACGTGCTACTTGATCATCACTTTTTATGATGGTAGATTTATCACTGTATATATTTGTGTCGTAGTCTCAAAATTAGTTTTTAATTACAATATTTACATCACAAAATAATTTTAAATGTTTCTCTGGGTCAAGAAGATATATTTCCAACTATACAATACAAAATGGATGACAAATAAAGAATGATTCAGAAAGAATTTAATTCTGAAGTAGTAACAACTTTTTTTTTCACATTTACTGAAGCATTATCAGTGGTGATGTGTTTAATATTGATCAGAAGCACATTTATCACCAGTCTTCTTGATGGCTTCTCTAAATATCCTTAATTTAGCTAATAATGTCAGCACAGGCTCATTGTGGATGTGTACCCATGTCCACATTTATAGAGAGCACGAATTATGTACCCAGAGGTATGTCTGGCTGCATTTCATCTTTTAAATAAAGGCTACGGAGCGGACACTGCTGACTGCTTCTGTTTTTTGCGATACCAGCTGACCGTTTACTTCAATGTGGACTTACATTGCCAGTTTGTCCATGAGCTAGCTGCATATGTTGGCAGACTTGGGACGAAGAGTGGAGTTGACCATGATGACAGGGTTTGAGTTTGGCAAACAATAGTTCCAGAAACCAGGTAAATGAATAAATAAAAATATACAAACAAGAAACGGGCTGAAAACAAGGTAAAATCACTCATTAATGATGGCTTTTCTTTATCTAGATTGCTTCTGTAAACACTATTTTTTGGGTTTAGGGAAGGTGGTGTATTGATCAGTCGACAGCAAGCTGGCCTGGTTGGCTGAGGTGTAAATTGCGCCCTCTGGTGGATTTATGTGAGAAGACGTGTGAGAGAAATTTGAGATCATCAAAAATCCAACACAATCCCATTGCAATTCTTAACTTTTTGATTTAGTGGCAAATTCGTGTGAATTCGTATGATCTAATTTAAACAAATTAGATTGATTTGCTCATCACCCAATGACAGTTGGGGCTTAGGGGTGGGGTTAGGTGCCACGCTTCCTTTTTAAAATCATACAATTTTGTTTGACTGAACTCGTACTAATTAGCCACTTAACTGGCAAAACGTAAAATACGTATGTTTTCTCGTGAGATCAGGCTGCAAAACACAGCAGCCTCCGGTAAATTTGCACAATCAAAAACTGTGAGCAGACGTACCTTAATGTATACCTCTAATGTATATACTGTTGTTATATGAAGATCAAAAATCTTACACCCCTGAACAATAACTGATGAAGGCACACAGCCGAAATTTTTTATTGTGCAGTGCAGAATGTTTTTGCTCCTTGTCATTTGAGGAAATTTGCACTAAACTTTTCTGGTAGAGCTCAGTGATTTAAATTTGATCCCTAAACCATAAACAACAACAAAATTTGACTAAAATTACTTTTATTAAAATGAGTTAAACATGCAAAGCTTAAAACAATAGAAAAACAGAGATTAAATCAGTCCTGCACCATTAATCATAATTAAACACAATGACAATTATTACCTTACTAAAGGTTGAAGAGAAAAAAAATAAGTTTACATGCTCTGTCTTAATGATTATACTTAATGAGTCAACAATACAAGTTATGTGCAGCTTTATGTTTCTATTAAGCATTTTTCTAGCATGCTAAAAAACAATTAGCGCAGTTGGACAGAAGCATAGCTATAGTTATTGTTGTTCAAAACAATCAATGATTCCACAATAATCATTTATTCTGTGATTACTGAGTGGATCTCTTATCTGACGCTGCTGTAGATCACTGAGTCCTCCACTCTTTCAGCATTTGATTGGCTGAAAAACAAGACAAAAACAACACAACAATATTACAGCTCAAATAGTCAGTGCTGGTTAAGCTGATGTTGGTTAAGTAGGATTTGTTTCTGGATGAACATCTATGTTGATTCTGGAACTATATTCCAATCAGCCAATCAGATTTAAGGGATACGTTTACAATTTATGTTGAGTTTTGGTTTGCAGTCAGGGTTATTTGTTGTTACATTATTATCATCATTATTGCAGGCAACTAGCTCTCTGCATATCTCACATGGTCGCCCACTGAAGCTAAGCAGGGCTGCGCCCAGTCAGTACCTGGATGGGAGACCACATAAGAAAGCTAGGTTGCTGCCGGAAGTGGTGTTAGTGGGGCCAGCAGGGGGCGCTCAACCTGCAGTCTGTGTGGGTCCTAATGCCCCAGTATAGTGACGGGGACTCTATACTGCTCAGTAAGTGTAGTCTTTCGAATAAGACGTTAAACCGAGGTCCTGACTCTCTGTGGTCGTTAAAAATCCCAAGATGTCCTTTGGAAAAGAGGTTTAACCCTGGCATCCTGGCCAAATCTGCCCACTGGCCTCTGTCCATCATGGCCTCCTAACCCCCCCCCCACCCCCCCACCCCCCACCCCCCCCCCCCCCCCCATATCATAACTGGCTTCATCACTCTGTCTCATCTCAAAATGGCTGCCGTCGCATAATCCAGGTGGATGCTGCACACTGGTGGTGGATAAGAAGACCCCCCCCCCTTCATTGTGTAAAGCACACTTTGAGTGCCCGGAAAAGCGCTATAAATGTAAGGAATTATTATTATTATTATTACAAACAGGGTTATTTGTTGTTACATCATTGTACAACAAACGTCTGATGTGGAAAAAGAAAGGTGCCAGGACTGGGATTGCAAACACTGTGATGATCGATTTTAATCTGATTTTAGGAATACTTTACAGCTAGGGTTAGGTTTAGAAATAGGGATTAGGTATAGATTGCATTTTAGAACAGACATGATATTCCAGGATCAACATGAGGATAAATATCGTAAGAGAAAGTGACAACAAAAATAAATGATTGAAAACACTAACAAGATATACAAAGAAGTCTAACAAGTGATCTTTAAAATGAATAATTTCTTAATTAAAGTCTTCATCAGTCTGTAATGCACAAAATGTTGGTTGTCAAGCTTTCTTGCTCAACATAAAACCATTGTTAGAGTATAACAGAATTCCAGCCAATCAGATGCTTGCTAATTTGTAACACTGGTTTAGTGTTGAGCAAGCAAGTTGAGTCAAATTTTGCATGTCCATGAAAGCAACCCCAAAACTTTAAAACTGAGTATGTTATATTGTCAGAGTTATTTTGCATGCTTAAAGCATGATCCATTGTGCACAGAATTATGTTGCAAGTATAACAGCTTGTGTTTAGTGCAGTTGTGTCTGATCCAGCAGTTTCTCCTCACCTGTGGTCTTGATCAGGCTGCTGAACTGGTGTGTTGTCACACTGACGCTGCTCCTCTTCTTCCTCTCTCTTCATCTGTGTGTCTCTGTGAAATTGGACAGTGGCGTACTGGATCTCCTCAGCATCTCTGCATTCAGCAGTTCTTCCTCTTTTGGGATTTACACTGGCATACAGAGCATCACCCGCTGATCCAGGATCAGAATGCAGATCATTCTGAAACACAACAAAATCAGAATTTCATACAAAGCAGAATTTTAAGAATGTAAAAAGCAGCTTGTTGATGTAAATGTGCTCATGATTATGCAGAGATTAAACCTACAGAGCAAAATATATCTGATATAAACATGGATCAATAATTTTGTGTGCATTCCTGCATCACACCACCAGGTGGCGCTGGAGAAACACTGCAGAGGAACTGATCAGGTGTTGGATTTCATGTTTGAAGATTCTGAATTGTTTTGATGAAATATTTTATTAATTCACACTGAATCACAGCTGATGTTATAAAGATATGACGATGACTTTAAATGAAGGTAAAATTTTATATATATTAGACATTTTAATTACACGAAGTACAAAGTAAAACATGAGTTTGACTAAGGTTGTATCTGTATGATTTACCTGCGTCATTGTGAGAGCTTCAGATTTAACTCTCCTTTGTTTCTTTCTGTTATAATAACACACAATAACAAAGGATGAATCACTCTAATAATACATCAAATTAAAATGTGCTTTTTTTAAATAATAAAATGTTTCTACAAAAAGTTACTAAAATGTTAATAAACTTTAAGAAAAAAAAACATTTTTTTAAACTCACATTACACACAGGATGATGATGATGATCAAAATGATGATGAATAATCCTCCTCCTGATGTCGCAGCAATGATGATAATGTTTCTTCCAGCGCCTTGATGAACTGAAAGATGAAGAAGATCATTATGAAGTTACAGGAGTGTGATGATAAAAGCTTCACCAGTGACAGTGACGGCGTCTGATCTCTGAGCTCCATGTGGATTGTGAGTCTCACAGTGGAAGTGTCACTGTCACTGGTGAAGCTTTTAGAGGAGTTAATGTATCAGTTACTGAACCATTATAAACTCACACTGGAAATCTAAAGTCACAGGATCAGAGTATTTCTCTCCATGTACATTATTGGCTCTACACTTGTATTTTTTACTGTCATCAGAGCTGATCTTGGAGATGTTGAGGATTCTTCCAGATCTTACAGATGTTTCTCCTTTATACCAGCTGAAGTTCAGAGCAGGAGGGTTTGAGTCACTGCTGCAGCTCAGAGAGACTGAATCTCCAAACATTTTTACAGCAGATCCACTAATGGACACTGAGACACTCTTTGGAGGATCTGAAACAGAAAAGCAATATTATAATTAGCAGTCACAACAAATATGCATAGTTTACATTTATAGGATTTAATAAGTCACTGAGCCATTATAAACTCACACTGAACATCTAAAGTCACAGGATCAGAGTCGTTCACTCCATGGTCATTTCTGGCTCTACACTTGTATTCTCCACTGTCATCAGAGCTGATCTTGGAGATGTTGAAGATTCTTCCAGATCCTACAGATGATTTTTCTTTATACCAGATGATTTCTGCAGGAGGGTTTGAGTCACTGCTGCAGCTCAGAGTCACTGAATCTCCAGACATTATTACAGCAGATCCCCTGATGGACACTGAGACACTCCTGGGTGGGTCTGAATAAAAAACAAATGAAATCAAATAATCAAGATTGGGGATCAGAGCCAATTTGGCTTTTTTCCCCCAAGTTGTATACATTACTAGCACTGCAATCTTCAAGATAAAAATAAGCCATGTTCACTAAATGCATGTTCTTCATTAAACGTCAGATTCTGTCATGCAGTTTTTATGTTGAGCAGGGAAAGGAAGGTCAGCTTTTGAGTCGGCTTTATTTTCACAAATGAATCCCTCAGTAATGAGTGGTGCGTACACACAAATAAAGTTCCAAACGCAGCTTTAAGCTGCAGTCACTCTAGGGTTTGTGCATGCAAAATTTTGTCGTACGTCTTTCTGAAAAGAGGTGGTGTTAAACAAGATGTTTAGACATTTAATAAAGCGAGAGATGGGTCCATGTTTTCAATTTCTGTACAGAGCTGTCATGTTTTGATACTTGATTGGTCTCACGCAGTGAAGTGATGGGATTCACAGGTCAGAGTTCACCAAGCTTGAACTTTGCACCGCAGCGAACTGTGAAACTTGTTGCACGAGTTTGCGTTTCTGGTCTGACGCATTTGCGTACATATGAATGGAAGTCTATGGGGAGAATAGTCAAGTGTGACCGCAGCTTTAGGCTTTATTAAGAGTGGTCAAGTGGCAAGGATTAGTACAGGAACAGAGGGTAGTACGCAGATAATCCAAAAGAGTGTAAATGATCTACAGCTGTGTGTGTGTGTGTGTGTGTGTGTGTGTGTGTGTGTGTGTGTGTGTGTGTGTGTGTAATGTTTAAGAACACCAGGTGTGAGGTGCTGAGGATTCTGGGATGTGCAGTCTGGTTCAGTGGCAGATGTGATGTGTAGAGTGCCCTCTAGTGTCTCTGATTGTGACACTGTGCTGACTGACTAGGTCAGTGATGATGTTACTAAACACTGCTTTGTTTGCGTTTTGAATGTGTGCAGTTCATGTTCCAGTTTCTCTTTGTAAAATGAAAAAAAAAAAAGACATTGTCAATGAGCTACACAGTAGGAGCAGAATGAATATCAGTTCATTCAGAGCGAGAGGAAGAACGGGAGATAATCAGAGCAGAGCGGCTAATGATAGCAGCTGACGGAGAGACGACAATACAGAGAAAACACCAGAACAGACAGAAGATCAAGAGCTCATTTACTCACACTGGACATCTAAAGTCACAGGAGCAGAGTCGTTCTCTCCAAGGCCATTTCTGGCTCTACACTTGTATTCTCCACTGTCATCAGAGCTGATCTTGGAGATGTTGAAGATTCTTCCAGATCCTACAGATGTTGCTTCTTTAAACCAGCTGAAGCTCAGAGCAGGAGGGTTTGAGTCGCTGCTGCAGTTCAGAGTCACTGAATCTCCCTCCACTATTACAGCAGATCCACTGATGGAGATCACAGGAGTATCTGGACCATCTGCAGGAGAAACATGTAAAAACAAGACTGAAAATAAATATGAAGATCAGTTTAAATTGTGTACTGTATACAGCGTTCTAAAAGTGATGTCTATATTCAAGACTATAATGTTTATGACAAATCTATGACAATGAATGTTATCTTGATAATGTCAAGTTGTCATAACAAAGACATCTTGAACTGCCATCTTCACATTTAAATAGACGTACTGAGCTAATAACACTCATAATGCACAATGCCACATTTTTCACACCACTTGTTAGCACTATTGCAAAAGTATTTTAACTTTTATGGATTGACTACTTTTATATTTATTGTAAGTCAAAATTCTTTAAACGGGTAAAAAATAGGAAAACTTACATGTGATATTGAGATAAACAGCAGGAGAGATGTACGTTTGTCCCTGCACACCACAGCTGTAGTGTCCTGCTTCTGTTCTACTGACTGAACTGATGTTGAGTTCTTCTCCAATATTAGTCAATGTGTGTGAGTTTCTGTACCAGATGAATGTTGGTGTGTCAGTCAGTTTACAGCTGCGTTTACATGTCAGACGGACTGAATCTCCCTCTGTCACTCTCTCAGGAGACTCCAGCTGAAGATCTGAACACAACACACACATTATATCTAGTGCTGCTCTCATACACTGATTATTATTCTACATAATGACCACAAGAAGAGAGAAACCTCAGGAGAGTCACCTGTGACAGAGAGACGCACTCCTGGTTTACCAAGCCATATTCCTCCTGTTACATCAGTAGTGAATCTGAAAAGATACTCGTGTTCATCTTTCTCTGTCACATGACTCAGTCTGACGGTGCAGTTCTGCTGTTTATCTCCCAGATACTGAAGCCTCTGACTGTATTCAGGGTCCTCAGACAGATCTGCAAACTCTCCTCCATAATATACTTGGTCTTTGTTCCAGAACACTTTCATGATCTGATATCCAGGAGTCGGGTATGTAAAAGTGCAGCTGATTGTCATTGTTGAGTTCTGTAGTGCACAGATTTGTGAAGGATTGTAAATCACACCCCAATCAGCAGCAGAAACTCCTGAAACACAGAAATAGTCGTGAATAAAATGTAGTTTAATCAGTAACACTGGACTATAAGACACTAGGAGCGCATGCTGTTTTACTAGTTGTACACAGTGACTCATTACAGATGATATTTTAAGCTGATCTTGTGAATATGAATGATGATCTCAGTGTGAATGACTTCAGTCTTGATGGAGGACAGAGAAAATAAACCAGTTAAGAAAAAACAGTAATGGACAATTACTGGGCAAAAAGACCTAATTAAATTATGATGTACTGACATGTAAACTACAAGTTTCTTTATTATGAACTAGTGATGTGATCAATAACTACCTAAATTACTTGTTCCTGTATGTTTGTCAATTAATTAACAATTCAGATCGAGGTAAATGAATCCTGCTAAATGATAAAGAACATTAAAGAGAAACCTCACCCGACACTAAAACTCATGTTATGACCACACGCCTCAACTCATCAGTTCATAATAAAGCCAAATGTAGTTTACATGTTAGTGCATTATTAATTGTTATTTTCCTGAAAACAGCTAATTTTACATCTCCACAACTGGTGTAACTGTGTGTTGAAACATTATTTTTGTGTTTGCAGATCAGAAGTGAAGTTCACCAAAAAAAGTTTCAGTCAACTTTTAATATTCAGATGGTAAATGTTTCTCAGGGGACGTAATGAATATTCACTATTTAAGCCGAGGACACACCAAGTCAACGTCAAGGAATTAGCAGGAGATGGAAACTGACTGTTGTTAAAAACACTATCATTGACTTGCTGTTAAAAGCTGCTTTGGTCATCACTATGAAGAACGTGCCAGCGCTTAATGCATCACAGCCGAAACCAAACGTGTGAAAGAAACGCTAAAACTGGAGGGTTTCATGACACTTTAACTAAAGACTCTCTACTGAGAAAACAGATCTGCCAGCTCAGACTAACTTCCTATATCAGAGAGAAGATGATCAGAAACCTGCTGAATAATGTCTGATTGTGTGGTGTGTGTAAATGCGGAGAAATAAAGCAGTGATGTGAATGTAATATTGACTCACTGTGAATGATGAGCAGAAAGATCAGATGAAGAGCAGGAGCCATTCTGAGCCACATCAGCATCAAATCTATCTAGAATCCAGCATTAATCATCACTTCTACACTCATCAACAGTAAATGTACATCTCCCTAAACAGCTCTTAGTGTTAGGAAGATCTTTACACATCTGCAGATTATTAATGCACAACATCAGTGTGTGTAAATCAACTGATGACTGAGATCAACACAAGATATTTCTCATGTCACAAATCATGTGTTATATGAGCTTCATCTACACTAATCATCAGTCAAATACCAGTGTGTTTGTCTTACCGTGTTGAAGAGCAGCCGATCAACAGCGACTGATGGACTGAGCGTGTGAAGAGATGCACGTCTTCTTTAAATGACAGACTCTCTGTGGCTAACACTGTTTTTAAACAGTTGCGGAACTATCAGTGCTCCTCCATCAGCAAAAAAACACCCCTACCAGTGACTAAAGATGAACGTGTTTTTACTTTGTGTTTTAGTTAAGTAATTTACTCAAGTCTATTTCACACTTATTAACATTTCTGCAGAAATAAAAGGATAAAAGTGGATATTCAGTTGATGCACATCAGTGTTTCTCCAGTATCAGCAGCAGGAGATGGAGACCTCTGCTGGTAGATTCAGGAATTGCACAACTTACAGGAATTAATTTGTGTCATGTGACAGAAAGGGGGTGGAGTCTCCAGTCCAGCAGTGAAGGCATTGGCTGATCAGTGTGTTTACTAATGTGCAGAATAATGTATAAAAGATGCACTTTAAATATGACTTTCACATGCAGAATCTCAGATGAGTTTAACAACATCAATTATTCATACTCAGGTGGCTTTATTAGCATGGCAAAGCTTTAATACTCTGGCAAAATACCGGTCACAATAATTACACAACATTGAACACAAAGTCATGGCCAGAGGCGTTTAAATCACTGACACTCTTTACAGACAAAAACAAGAGAATATATTCATATGTGCCACAGCCATGTCACCCTGCAGCCCAAGACTGGTTACTCACTGAAGCTAAGCAGGGCTGAGTCTGGTCAGTACCTGGATGAGAGACCACATGGGAAAACTAGATTGCTGTTGGAAGTGGTGTTAGTGAGGGCAGCAGGGGGTGCTCAACCTGTGGTCTGTGTGAGTTCTAATGCCCCAGTAAAGTAAAGGGGACACTACACTTTCAGTAAGCGCCGTCTTTCGCATGATATATTAAACTGAGGTCCTGACTGTAAGCCCCACACAATGGTTCGGATGTTGAATGGTGGTTTCCACAGATGTGTGGGGAAGGTTTTCTGCATGTCAGTCTTTTCTCGCGCAGCTATAAAGAGATCATTAAAGATTATTAAACTTTTGTTTCATAAATCCAATTTTGACCCTTATACTTATCTGTTTCCAATTTATAATCATTTACATTTAGATGTAGTGTGGTTTATTCATAAACTAATTTCGAGAGGATCACGTGCTTATAATCAACACAGCTGGCTCCTTGTTAGCTCTGTAATCAGCCCTATTAGATGATTACGGAAGCATTATAAATAACCTGAGTTTTTCACTCCAGTTATCTTCGTCTTGAAGCTCCCCCCCTTTCCACCCCTACATCCTCCCACTTTTTCTGATCGGGCGACACGGTGGCCCAGTGGCTAGCACTGTTGCCTCACAGCAAGAACACCGCCGGTCCAACCCATCGGGCCGGTTGGTGTTTCTTGTGTGGAGTTTGCATGTTCTCCCCGTGTTCGCGTGGGTTTTCCCCGGGTTCACCGGTTTCCTCCCACCATCCAAAAACATAAACCATAGCCAATCGACTAAAACAAATTATCACCCAATACAACCTGAGTTTACACTTCTCACGGTGACCAGCAGGTAAGTTCTCGAGACCTACCTGACCTCGAGTTCCCCTCTCGCCCTTCTAGCGGGAGGGAGCCCCGGGCTCGAGGATATTACGAGCTCAGGGCTCTCTCCCGGGACAGCCAGCCAAATACGCTTTATTGATTATCAGCTACGTGTGAACTCTTGAATCTTATTCAAGCTGATCACCTTATAGGTTGTGATTAGGTCTAATTTAGATTGATTAACCTAATAAATCCTTATTTTCAGTTCATCGTTTACCCGAAGTCGCATAGAGTCAGTAAGTTGACCAGTTTCATCTCAAGGACACATCCTCACCAGTTCTGGTTCTTAGATATAACTGGAAGCTCAGTTTCTTTAAGTAATATTAGGCCGCCCCATGCTTGCTCATACATAAAGAAAGTTTGATTTACCCACTAGATTATATATTAAGTCAGAAATCAACAGGTCTCTAATGCTGTGCCAATGCTCCATCCATTGAGCCTGAATGTATGAGCAATCCTGGTCATAGGCTGTGGAAACATCAGCCTAAACAATCTACCAGATTTAAATGATTTCAGGAGACATTAGATTTAAACAAGAATTTTACATTTATTTGCCAGGCAGTAATTAATTAACATATCACATTTAAAACATGCAGAAGAAGTACAAAATGCTTACACAACATGATCAGCAAAAAAACATCAAAACAATTTGTAAAATAAACAATCGTCAAAGAGTCCTCATACCTGGCGATGTAGACACACAGAGACTGTGCGGGAAGTTTCATCTGATTACAGATGCTTGCCTGAGTGTTTCGCCAAATCTCCTTAAATACCCAGAATGTCATAAATTCAAATTAATAAAAACTTTGTCTAGAGATTTTACCCTAGGAGCCAAATACCATCTGAGGACGAAGACAAGACTTGACAAAAGATCTTATCCAGGACAGCCATATCACCCTGCAGCCCAAGACCTGTTACTCACTGAAGCTAAGCAGGGCTGAGCCTGGTCAGTACCTGGATGGGAGACCACTAGGGAACACTAGGCTGCTGTTGGAAGTGGTGTTAGTGAGGGCAGCAGGGGGCGCTCAACCTGTGGTCTGTGTGAGTTCTTATGACCCAGTAAAAGTGAAGGGGACACTACACTGTCAGTGGGCGCCGTCTTTCGGATGAGACGTTAAACCCGAGGTCCTGACACTCCGTGGTCATTAAAAATCCCATGGCACTTCTCGTTTAAGAGCAGGGGTGTAACCCCGGTGTCCTGGCCAAAGTCTCTCTATCGGCCCTTACGATCATGGCCTCCCAATCATCCCCTTCCACCGAATGGACTGTATCACTGTCTCTCCACTCCACCAATAGCTGGTGTGTGGTGAAGCACTGGCGCCGTTGTCCTGTGGCAGCCGTCGCATCATCCAAGTGGATGCTGCACACTGGTGGTGGTGTGGAGAGACCCCCCCTCATGATTATGAAGCGCTTTGGGTGTATGGCCATACACAATAAATGCGCTATATAAACATACATTACATTACATCCTTTCCTATGAGAGAGGACAAAATTTACCCAAATCTGCGATCATTTATTTTAGTCTATAATACTGAGATAAAACTGAGATCCCATTTACACTCACACTGAGACCTTTAAAATGAAACCAAGCATGACAAGTTAAAACTCACATATTCTGCAAATATACAAACTACATCATTTCACCATACAAACTTAAAATCTGGCCATTCCTGAGTAACTTTACAATGACTCAGGCCGTATAACAGGGGAGGGTAAGAGAACCTGAGGATAGGTGTCCAGACGGCTTTCTCAAAATCCTCTCCGAAGATTAGAAAGTTGATTGTTTTATTGCATGATAGTTCTCATGGTATGATCTTAGGCTCTGTTTACACTAACGTGTTCTCATTTTAAAATGCATAAGTTTTGCTGCGGTTACGCCATCCGTCCACACTATGCCGGAGTTTTCGAGTGCCGAAACGGAGCATTTTTGAAATGCTGGAGAGTCCGTTTTCATTCTAAAATACTGCTGCTCTGTTTAATGTGGATGGGGGAAAATGAAGTTATCTGAAAACGGAGGCGGAGCTATCGACATTCACCTCTCTGATTGGGGCTTTTTTTCAATATTAAGTAGCCTACACACACAGTTCAGTCCTGCATCCTCTCCTTGAGTTCAGACTTCACTAGTTTGATATTGAAAACAGACTCCCGAGGACACATCAGGTAAATCTTCAAAGGGAGGTGTGTACTTTATAACCTTATTCACATCATCCTGGCTACATATGTTGTTTCACTTTCTTAATAAAATGAAAACATGATATAAGGAACTGCTATTTTCACTTTGATATTAACAACTTAACAGACAGCAGAAATGTTGAGGTGTCGTGCTGCATATGTGAGCGTCATCTTCACTGTGTGGATATTTATAGCAAAACTAAGCCTATAACATCACTGCCTCCTTTCATTCTCATTGAAAATACGAAACACACCCTCTCTTTTGCTGAATACCAGTTTTAATAATCGATAATGGCCATTATAAAAGAATAACGTACACTAAGTTTATACATTATAGGAAATAAAGGCAAACGATCAGTCAATATACAGAATGTACGTGGTTACATGAATTATTAACTTCTCTTTGCGCTCAGCCAAAACACGTTACCTGAGAACAAGTAATCGACTAAAGACTAAAGTTGGGGAATATGTCGTTAAATAAAGACAACAAGTTAAATTAAATATTACGTGTAGCAAATATAGTGACATTAGATCCAGTGGGAAATCCTGTTAAACAGTCCAACCAGCACAGCTCTCATCTGGGTAGATCTGCTGAAGCACATGCCAGTGTGTGTGTGTGTGTGTGTGTGTGTTCACGTGATGTCTGTTTTCAGTGTTTTGGTGTAGACGGAGAGCTGTTCAGAAAAGGTGGGTGAAACGCGAGTGTGGACGCGGATCGTTTTCATTCTAAAACGCCGTTTTAAAACTAACACACACTAGTGTAAACAGCGCCTTAGAGAATTTCACAGCAGTTTTTCCAGAGAGACCTCCATCATGCTTGTGAAGCGCTTTGGGTGTTTGGCTATACTTGATAAATGTGCTATATAAATACATATTACATTAAATATAATTTTAAGCTTAATACCACGTAAGGATTTCTATCAGTAGCAGGAGATGGAGACCTCTGCTGGTGGAGTGAGGGTTTGCACAAACACAAGAGACCTTCACTAATGAAACTGATCACTTACAGCAACACAGAACATTGAAAATATTAAACACTTTAAAACTATAAAGCAATTCACTGACTCATCACTAATGATCGCTGTCAATCACCCGTGGCTCCGCCCACACAGCTCAGGATTGGTGATTTCTGGCTCCGCCTCTCACTGCAGCCTCTTCCTGTTGATCTGAACAGACAATAAGATGAAGAAAGACTGAAGCTCAACCACATTAAACTCTTTGACGAGGCTCATCCAATAATCAAACTGCTGCTGAGAGGGTTTATGGCTGATATTGTCTCTTACTGGTGGATTGTGATGTTCAGAAGAGCTCTGAGGATCAAGAGTGGAGCAGGAGTTTTCAGCAGGTCTGTGGTGAACGCTCTGTGTGAAAGAAAGCGAGAGATCATCAATCATCTGATCATCACTGACCATTGTCTGACTTTGAGTTTCACTTACTGTGAGTGTGTCGTACAGGTCAGAGGTCACAGACTGGAGATCAAGACCTGCATATGTGTCTGAGATCTGCACAGAGGGAAGGACATTGAGGCTCTCTTTTAACAATCTAAACTCATTATATAAAGCTCACGGCACAGGAGCTCTTAAAATGGTCACACACAAAGTAAATGGTCTAACAGGATTGTTGGTCATAACATGCATTAAACCAACCAGAGTTTTATCTCCAATTCCCTTTAAGAGAAGTCATGAGAGATTCTCTATTTTCACTGGTGGACTTTGTAAGCAGAAAAACTGAATGCTTCACTAGCGAGGAAACAGATATGCTGGTGCACAATGTAAAAGAGCATCTACAGAATGAGCGGGATTCACCAAATCCCCCTGAGGTAAAGCTGGTTTGGTATGATGTAGGAGAAATTCTATAATTATGTAGACAATATTAATTTTTTACATTTTAATTCTTTCATTTTTCACATTTGAAGATGTTGGTGTGCTGCTGTGGATCCCTGTGTGCGTAATAAGCAACATATATGCACATTTTGGATCTGCATATCACTAAAGTGCTCTTTAAATAAAAGAAAAACTGCGCTATTAACTTTAGAGCAGCTTGTAGTTGGTGAATGGTGTGGTCTATTTCATTCATTCATTCATTTTTTTGTCGGCTTAGTCCCTTTATTAATCTGGAGTCGCCACAGCAGAATTCGCCCAATTCTCCTATACTGCATGTCTTCAGACTTGTGGGAAAACTGGAGCATTCGGACGAAACCCACGGAGAATATACAAACTCCACACAGAAACGCCAACTGACCCAGCTGAGGCTCAAACCAGCCACGTTCTTGCTGTGAGGCGAGCGTGCTACCCACTGCGCCACCACGTCGCCCGGTCTATTTCATTTGCCTCTAAATAGCAACACGTCGAAAATTAGCCTTAACACAACTCCTGTTCAGACCAGCACACTCATGAATGCACAAATGCTCTGCGAGCAAATGACATGAAAATGGTACCTGAACCAGGCTGAACTACATTAATGTTTGATGCTTTGTTCACACCAGACGCGGAACGCGCGGATAAATAATGCTATTCGCGCATAAATAGCCGTGTGAACATTTGAGTTTACTCGCTTCATACGGGCGTCAAACCTCGCTTCATTCGCGTGTCAAAATCACTTCAGAACAGACGCAGATTCGCGTGATGGGCAGGGCTTCTGTCTGCCCAGTGACTCTAGCTTCATAGCTAAATGGCTAACATGGATTTTATGAAGAAAATAACAGTGTTTATGTGCTTTATGAAGGCTGAAAAACAATGTCGATACGTTTAGGGCCGTGTCTGAGGCCACTAAATCCTTTCAGAGGTGCATCCAGCTCTGTGAGCTCATAAACTCCTCCAGAAACTGAACCTGGATGACGGAGGCTTTCAGCGGTGCTTCTGACTGAGCCCAGCCCAGTTTGATGAACTGTTGTCAGTGAAGGCTGGAGGATTTCCCTCAAACACCGACAACAGGTTTTACATCACAATCACGCCCCCACAAGAGCAAGCTTCTGATGGTTAACGCGGTTGAATGTACGCTGAAGTTAAGATTTTCGAAATCGAGAGATTCGCGCAAAACGCTTGTTAAGCGCGTCAAACGCGCAAAACGCTCAATTCACCCCGCGCCATTCGCGCAATTTGCGTCATTCGCGCCGCGCCATTCACGCATATCGCGCCGCAGGATGTCTATCCGCACGTTTTCATTGACTTAACATGTAAATAACTCTCGCTTGATGCGCGTTCCGCGTCTGGTGTGAACGCAGCATGAGGAACTCAATGTAAATCAGTTTTTACTCTACACTCTTAATACCTGCAGAAAAACACTATAAATAATGTAAGGTCATCTCACCGAAGACTCTTTCACTGCAGATCGTCTGCTCTTCCTTTTAAAAAGACTGTTAGAAGAAAAATAATTGTTTTGACTCAAATCTAAGGTAAATAAAGTACCATAAAAGTTATTATTGCTTAATTCAAGTTATATAAAATTATATGATTTGAAGTTTTTATTGAGCTCACACTGCAAACGTGATGATGATGATGATGATGATGATGATCACTAATAATCCCCCAGATGTCGCTGTGATGATGATGATGTTTCTCTCAGCATGTTGATGAACTGAAAGATGAAGCAGATCATGATTAACTCTCCAGACTGATGAAGTTACAGGAGTGTGATGATAAAAGCTTCACCAGTGACAGTGACGGCGTCTGATCTCTGAGCTCCATGTGGATTGTGAGCCTTGCAGAAGTGTCACTGTCACTGGATAAACTTTTAGAGGAGTTAATGTATCAGTTACTGAACCATCATAAACTCACACTGAACATCTAAAGTCACAGGATCAGAGTATTTCTCTCCATGGTCATTTCTGGCTCTACACTTGTATTCTCCACTGTCATCAGAGCTGATCTTGGAGATGTTGAAGATTCTTCCAGATCCTACAAATGTTTCTTCTTTAAACCAGCTGAAGTTCAGAGCAGGAGGGTTTGAGTCGCTGCTGCAGTTCAGAGTCACTAAATCTCCAGACATTATTACAGCAGGTCCACTGATGGAGATCACAGGAGTATCTGGAGCATCTGCAGGAGAAACATGTAAAAACAAGACTGAAAATATCAAGATCAGTTTAAAATGTGTACTGTATACAGTGCACTAAAAGAGCTTCCCATTGCTTTTTATATGTATTTTTCTTGTTTTTATTTTTTTGTTTATATTTTCTTACTGAGTGTGATACTTAGTATAAAAATGGAGAGTATTTGTTGAGAATTTTAAATCAGACGTGTCATTATAATTATTGTAATAATCATTTGCAATTATTGAATTTTCAGTTTTGGGTGAAATACCCCTTTAATGTGTAAATAGTAAAAGAGATGAAAACTTACATGTGACATTGAGATAAACAGCAGGAGAGATGTAGGTTTGTCCCTGCACACCACAGCTGTAGTGTCCTGCTTCTGTTCTACTGACTGACCTGATGTTGAGTTCATCTCCAATATTAGTCAATGTGTGTGAGTTTCTGTACCAGATGAATGTTGGTGTATCAGTCAGTTTACAGCTGCTGTTACATGTCAGACGGACTGAATCTCCTTCTGTCACTCTCTCAGGAGAATCCAGCTGAAGATCTGAACACAACACACACATTATATCTAGTGCTGCTCTCATACACTGATTATTATTCTACATAATGACCACAAGAAGAGAGAAACCTCAGGAGAGTCACCTGTGACTGAGAGACGCACTCCTGGAGTACCAATCCATTTCCAATAAGATACATTAACAGTGAATCTGAAAAGATACTCGTGTTCATCTTTCTTTGTCACATGACTCAGTCTGACGGTGCAGTTCTGCTGTTTATCTCCCAGATACTGAAGCCTCTGACTGTACTCAGGGTCCTCAGACAGATCTGCAAACTCTACTCCATTATATACAAGGTCTTTGTTCCAGAACACTTTCATGATCTGATATCCAGGAGTCAGGTATGTAAAAGTGCAGCTGATTGTCATTGTTGAGTTTTGTAGTGCACAGATGTGTAAAGGACTGTAATTCACACCCCAACCAGCAGCAGAAACCCCTGAAACACAGAAATAGTCGTGAATAAAATGTAGTTTAATCAGTAACACTGGACTATAAGACACTTGGAGCACATGCTGTTTTACTAGTTGTACACAGTGACTCATTACAGATGATATTTTAAGCTGATGTTGTGAATATGAATAATGATCTCAGTGTGAATGACTTCAGTCTTGATGGAGGACAGAGAAAATAAACCAGTTGAGAAAAAACAGTAATGGAAAATTACTGGGCAAAAAGACCTAATTAAATTATGATGTACTGACATGTAAACTACAAGTTTCTTTATTATGAACTAGTGATGTGATCAATAACTACCTAAATTACTTGTTCCTGTATGTTTGTCAATTAATTAACAATTCAGATCGAGGTAAATGAATCCTGCTAAATGATAAAGAACATTAAAGAGAAACCTCACCCGAAACTAAAACTCATGTTATGACCACACGCCTCAACTCATCAGTTCATAATAAAGCCAAATGTAGTTTACATGTTAGTGCATTATTAATTGTTATTTTCCTGAATACAGCTAATTTTACATCTCCACAACTGGTGTAACTGTGTGCTGAAACATTATTTTTGTGTTTGCAGATCAGAAGTGAAGTTCACCAAAAAAAGTTTCAGTCAACTTTTAATATTCAGATGGTAAATGTTTCTCGGGGGACGTAATGAATATTCACTATTTAAGCAGAGGACACACCCAGTCAACGTCAAGGAATTAGCAGGAGATGGAAACTGACTGCTGTCAGAAACTGCTGTCATTGACTTGCTGTTAAAAGCTGTTTTGGTCATCACTGTGAAGAACGTGCCAGCGCTTAATGCATCACAGCCAAAACCAAACGTGTGAAAGAAACGCTAAAACAGGCCGGTTTCATGACACTTTAACTAGAGACTCTCTACTGAGAAAACAGATCCTCCAGCACAGACTAACTTCCTATATCAGAGAGAAGATGATCAGAAACCTGCTGAATAAAGTCTGATTGTGTGATGTGTGTAAATGCAGAGGAATAAAGCAGTGATGTGAATGTAAGATTGACTCACTGAGAATGATGAGCAGAAAGATCAGATGAAGAGCAGGAGCCATTCTGAGCCACATCAGCATCAAATCTATCTAGAATCCAGCATTAATCATCACTTCTACACTCATCAACAGTAAATGTACATCACCCTAAACAGCTCTTAGTGTTAGGAAGATCTTTACACATCTGCAGATTATTAATGCACAACATCAGTGTGTGTAAATCAACTGATGACTGAGATCAACACAAGATATTTCTCATGTCACAAATCATGTGTTATATGAGCTTCATCTACACTAATCATCAGTCAAATACCAGTGTGTTTGTCTTACCGTGTTGAAGAGCAGCAGATCAACAGAAACTGATGGACTGAGCGTGTGAAGAGATGCACGTCTTCTTTAAACAGACAGACTCTCTGTGGCTAACACTGTTTTTAAACAGTTGCGGAACTATCAGTGTTCCTCCATCAGCAAAAAACACCCCTACCAGTGACTAAAGATGAATGTGTTTTTACTTTGTGTTTTACTTAAGTTAATTTACTCAAGTCTATTTCACACTTATTAACATTTCTGCAGAAATAAAAGGATAAAAGTTGATCTTCAGTTGATGCACATCAGTGTTTCTACAGTATCAGCAGCAGGAGATGGAGACCTCTGCTGGTAGATTCAGGCTTTGCACAACTTACAGGAATTAATTTGTGTCATTTGACAGAAAGGGGGTGGAGTCTTCAGTCCAGCAGTGAAGGCATTGGCTGATCAGTGTGTTTACTAATGTGCAGAATAATGTATAAAAGATGCACTTTAAATATGACTTTCACATGCAGAATCTCAGATGAGTTTAACAACATCAATTATTCATACTCAGGTGGCTTTATTAGCATGGCAAAGCTTTAATACTCTGGCAAAATACTGGTCACAATAATTACACAACATTGAACACAAAATCATGGCCAGAGGCGTTTAAATCACTGACACTCTTTACAGATAAAAACAAGAGAATATATTCATATGTGCCACAGCCATGTCACCCTGCAGCCCAAGACTGGTTACTCACTGAAGCTAAGCAGGACTGAGCCTGGTCACTACCTGGATGGGAGACCACATGGGAAAACTAGGCTGCTGTTGGAAGTGATGTTAGTGAGGCCAGCAGGGGGTGCTCAACCTACAGTCTGTGTGAGTTCTAATGCCCCAGTAAAGTGAAGGGGACACCATACTGTCGGTGAGCGCTGTTTTTTGGATAAGACATTAAAGGTTCCGACTCTCTGTGGTCATTAAAAATCCCATGGCACTTCTTAAAAAGAGTTGGGGTGACTGGGGTGTGGGGTCACTAATAAAACTGATCACTTACAGGACAGGTGTCAATTTCAATTCCTAGAGGGCTGCAGCTCTGCACAGTTTAGTTCAAACCCTGCTCCAACACACTTACCTGTAGGTTTCAAATAAGCCTGAAGGACTCAATTAGTTTGATCAGGTGTGCTTAATTAGAGTTGGAACTAAACTGTGCAGAGCTGCGGCCCTCCATGAGTTTGACACCTGTGACTTACAGGAACACATAAGACAGAATAACAGAAGCTGGAAATATTGAACAATTAAAGACTAATGAAATTCACTGATTCATCACTAATGATCCCTGTCAATCAACTGTGGCTCCGCCCACACAGTTTAGGATTGGTGATTTCTGGCTCCGCCTCTCACTGCAGCCTCCTCCTGTTGATCTGAACAGACAATAAGATGAAGAAAGACTGAAGCTCAACCACATTAAACTCTTTGACGAGGCTCATCCAATAATCAAACTGCTGCTGAGAGGGTTTATGGCTGATATTGTCTCTTACTGGTGGATTGTGATGTTCAGAAGAGCTCTGAGGATCAAGAGTGGAGCAGGAGTTTTCAGCAGGTCTGTGGTGAACGCTCTGTGTGAAAGACAGCGAGAGATCATCAATCATCTGATCATCAGTGACCATTGTCTGACTTTGACTTTCACTTACTGTGAGTGTGTTGTACAGGTCAGAGGTCGCGGACTGGAGATCCAGACCTGCATATGTGTCTGAAATCTGCACAGAGAGAAGGACATTGTGGCTTTATTTTAATAATCTAAACTCGTGATCTACAGCACACGGCGCAGAAGCTCCTAGGGTGAGTCTGAATCTACTTTTGTTATTTTAAAAATGGGGAAAAACAGTCGGCATGCCCAGCGCACGGTCTAAAAGTGTTGTCGTTATTCTTTTAATGAACTATGTGTGTGATTGGAGTGTAATGGGCATTAAAACAATCAGAGTCTCATCTACCATTCCCTATATAACTGAGTTGTAGTTGCGCTATGTTGAATTCGCTATTGAGTTGGCAGACTTTCTAAACAGAAAAGCTGAACGCTTCACTATTGAGGAAACAGAGCTGCTGGTGCGCAATGTTAAAGACCATCTACAGAATGAGCCGGATTCACCAAAACCCCTGAGATAAAGACAGAAGGAGGTAGCGGTTTGTTTATTTATGTATACAATAATAATCTGTTACATTTTACATGTGCTGCTTTGCATCCCTGTGTGTGTAATAAGCAACTGTCACCGATGTGGACAGAACCCAGACGCAGATCAGCAACACAAAGTAAAGTTTATTAATTAGGAACAAAAAAACTGGACACAGAGCCCAGATAACAGCCAAAAGGGCTTGAAGAAAACAACAAGCCCATGGTAGGGTAAATAGTAGGGATGGCTGACGTGAAACTGATGTTTCGACAAAGTGTCGAGATCCCGAAGCGCAAGTGTTTCGAAACACTGCACCAAAGCATGATCCGAAGCACTCAAGTCACGTGACTAAAGTGTTTCGAAATACCTAGTCATGTGACTAAAGCGATTCAAAGCATCGATAAGCTTAGAAACGTTTCGAGACCTGGCGAATCGTCATTTGACTGCCAAGGTCTCCAATTAATCTTTGTCTCATTTGGCTTAGAGGACTGTGTGTTTGCTTGATGATTCTATGCTTAGCATGATGTTTTGGGATCGAATCCCGACTTGTACAAATACTCTGAAAACATGGTTTTATGTATTTTAATCATGTTTCTGTTTTGTGTAGCCTAAATAGGATACAGCTGCAGTTACGCCATCAATTTAGCATCATTTTTGTAACACTGTAAAACAATAATAAATATTTTTACAGTATGGTTGGGTTTAGGGTTAGGGTAGACATTAATAAAATACAATAAATGGGAAATTTAATGAATAATATAAATAATTCTTGATAACTTCAGGCCACCGTTTTTGATCTAGCAACAACCCTGTTTTAAGACAAAAACAAGACATATTTATTCACAAATTGTTTATTCGGATATCAGACCAATGTTGAAACAAAACGATACAAGAGCAAAGCATTACCAACTGGTATTAAAGCATTTCAAAACAACTGCGATAGACTGGCTTTGAAACCTACTAACCCTGCATGGAAGTCTGACACCTTATCCACTGTACTATGTTACTTGAGAATGTTGAGTACAAAGTTGGGTTTAATGCCTCAATTTGTTCAATCGTTCTTTGCTGAAGCTGTTTCAGTGCAATAAATAAAAAATGACCACTAGATGTCACTGTAGAGTGAGGTTTCGAAATGTTTTAAAGCTTCGACACATTTGCTTCGACTGTTTCAGTGTTTCACGAAGCCTCGCTTTGCCCACCACTAGTAAATAGTAATTTTAAGTAAAACAAAATAAACCCAAACTGGACAGAAAACCAGACAAGCATCTAACTACATGTAGCATGAGAAATGAATCAGCCCAGACAACAGCAAACTGGGAGAATAAATAGAGGAGCAAACAAAGTCTCAAACGAGGAGCTCAGGTGAAACAAATTAACAAAATGAACAGGTAACAAAACAGGCGGGGTCTAATTAATAAACAAATGAGCACATAGGGAAATACCAAACACAAGCCATGTGCTGAACACAAACCAAATTACAGACATAAGTAGACAGCTCAAGATGACTTGACGCTGTGCGCTCACAACACAGAAAAGAATACATTGTTCAAGCTAACTCAAACCAATGCATTTACAAAGAGAAAACAAACAAGAGTGTAAGAAAGTAAGAATGAAATAAACATAAGACAGAACCATGACAGCAACATGTATGCATGCTGTGAACTTGCCTATAGGTGCATATCACTAACATGCCCCTTAAATAGTAAAATAAACTAACAAAAAAACAATGACTTTAGATCATGTTTTAGTTGGTCATTGGTGAGGTCTTTCAGTTGCCTAAAAATAGCAACACACCAACATTGTGCCTTAACACACCTCCTATTCAGAGCAGCACACTCATGGACGCACAAATGATTTGTGATTTAAACAACTTGGCACAGGACATGGAAATGATGCCTGAACCAGGCTGAAACTTGCCAAAAACATCTGTATAAAACCCCTGTATGATAAAACTCTGTGTGTACGTCAGTTTTTACTGTACACTCTTAATATCCCTGTACAATCATCACGGCTGTATGGAACCTGCAGGAAAACAATAAATAATGAAGATCATCTCACCACAGACACTTTCACTGCAGATCTTCTGCTCTTCTTTTTAGAAATACTGTCAGAAGAAAGATGGAAAATATATTTTACTTATTTGTAGGACAAATTAATTGCAGTATAGCTTCTTCCTAGATCACTCTTCTCACCAGATGTAATACACAGCAATAAGAGCCGCTGATCCTCCACAGAAAACAGCACCAACAGCAAAACCAGCACCAAATTCTGGAGACCACAACTCAAATCTGGTAACTGAAACACAAAAGAGATGAGCTGTTCATCATGAGTCGATAAATGTAGTCTATACACTAAGAATAATATACAAGAAAGTCTATGTGCTTAAACTACTAAAAACCCACACATGATGTGTAAAGTCAGAGGATCAGAGAATTTCTCTCCATCTTCATTTCTGACTCTACACTTGTGTTCTCCACTAACTAAACACTAAAGATCAATAAATCTGTACTCACGTGTTACATTAAGATGGACGTCATCTGATGTGAGTGTGTGTCCATGTACAGCACATCTATATCTGCCTGCATCTTCTCTTCTGACTGGATCCAGGATGAGTTTGTTTCCAATAATCCCTTCAGTCAATCTCTCTGAGTTTCTGTACCAGATGAATGTTGGTGTGTCAGTCAGTTCACAGCAGCTTCTACATGTCAGACGGACTGAATCTCCCTCTGTCACTCTCTCAGGAGACTCCAGCTGAAGATCTGAACACAACACACACATTATATCTAGTGCTGCTCTCATACACTGATTATTATTCTACATAATGACCACAAGAAGAGAGAAACCTCAGGAGAGTCACCTGTGACTGAGAGACGCACTCCTGGTCTACCAATCCACTTTCCTACTGTTACATTAGTATTAAATTTGAAATAATACGCGTGTTCATCTTCCTTTGTCACATGACTCAGTCTGACGGTGCAGTTGTGCTGTTTATCTCCCAGATACTGAAGC